ATAATGATATTAATAACGGTAATAAAGATAAACACGAACATAAGCAGACTTCATATATTAAGATGAATAGGAATAAAATAAAATAGACATGAAAAGTTTCTAAGGTTTCATTTTGCTTTTCAGGCAATTAGATGGATGACGGACCTTGTTTGTATAAATCATTATTGAATACATTGATATTCAATAGGTGACATAATCCACTTTCGGAAAGAAAATCATCAAGGAGACTTCTGAACCGGGTTGTACTTTCGCTGCAACGGAGGTTCACTGGCAGTCTGTTCCACATGGTTGAGTAGCGAATAAGGAAAACATTCTGGTGTAAGTATGTGTGGGTTCTTGGAATCACTAGAATATTCTTCTTATTGCGTAGATTGTGGGATGATATCATAAGTTATGAAGGGGTGGATACCAAAGAGTAGGAAATACCGTTAATAAGCCGGTAGATAAGGATAAGATTTAATTTGATACGTCTGATCCAAAGAGGTTCTAAGTTGGGTTGTTGACATCTTTGGTGAACTTTCGTTGAACACCTTCAATTTTAGTCAGGTCAGTATGTCTGTAATTACTGTAAACTAAAATACCATATTCAAGAATGGGTAAGATACATTTTCTGTATAGTAACAATCTCGATTCGATATTATTGAAGTTTATCATTATCAATCCGATGAGCTTTCTAACTTTGGATACTTGAGATCTAATGTGCTCAGAAAAGTTCAGACTGTCACTATATCTTAAACCCAAGTCACGAACAGTGTTGAGAGGTTTGAGTGTATGTTTGTGTATAGTCAGATTTAAGTTAAGGCAGTGGCCAATGTGAACAAATCCACTTTTGTCAACATTAAGTGGCGAATTCCACGAAACAGTCCATTACAATAACTTGTTTATTTCTTCTTGGATTACCGCTGAAATATAGCTTTCTTTCGTGGGAGAAGAGAAGGAATGAACTACTTTCAGGTCATCAGCAAAAAGGAAAGGTTTACCATACTGAAAGAGAGAACACCTGTCATTGATAAAAAGGAGAAAGAGTAATGGACCAACCCCACCTCCACGTATAACCTCACTGGTTACATTCACAGGTTTAGAGTACCAAGATCCAAAGCGAACGATTTGGCTACGTTCTTCTAAAAAAGATTTGAGCCAAGATAATAGAGGATCCTGTGTGCCAAATGAAGAGTTTTAAAAGAAGAAGTTTGTGTGAGACACTGTCGAAAGCCTTACCAAAATCGAAGTACAGAATTATCACTGACTGACCAACATCTCTTCTTTGGGTAATTCGATCAAAAAACTCCAGATGCGATGTGAAACATGAGCGTTTAGTCATAAACCCGTGTTGGAATGGGCTGATCAGACTAGCCGAAAGTAAAAATGATAATAGCTGTGTTGTGGATGATTTTTCCATGGTTCTTGAGAGCACGGATGTCAAATTAATTGGCCAATAGTTAACAATATCACTACCTGATCCTGTTTTGAATCTGGGGGTGATAAGGGATGTTTTCCATACAGATGAATAGGTCCCATATTCCTTAGATAGATTGAAAAGTTTCAAACGAAATAGTGGAAATTCCCTACTCCCATATTTCACAAATGATGAAGGTATCCTGTCAGGCGCATTTCGGTATGAATCGTCCATAGAAACTCACAAGGCTGTTGAACGTGCGTAATTGCTTGATGGTGGTCGGTTTTGGGTAATCCAGAATGGCCGCCACTTTGGTTCTAAGGGGTCATCTATGGTGTGTCCTAGGAAGTCCAATGAGTCAGTTCCGATTTGGCATTTCTGAATGTTTACAGTAATGCCATGTTTTTTAGTCGGTTGAAAACATGATCCAGATGCTTGAGATGCGATTCTCTGTCCGGACTTGCTATTAGACAGTCACCAACATACACATGTACGAGGTTGAGACCTCGAGAGACGTCGTCTACGAACCTTTGGAATGTTTGGGCAGCGTTTCTTGAACCGAAAGGCATTCGCGAAAATTCATAGAGTCCAAAAGGAGTAATGATAGCTGTTTTAGGAATATCGTCAGTAGCCATAGGGATCTGGTTGGACGCTTTAACCAAGTCGATTTTCGAAAAGACAGTTGTACCTTTCAAGGTAGCTGTCAAATCGTGAATGTGCGGCAACGGGTAACGATCGGGAATGGTTTTCGCATTCAATCGCCGAAAGTCACCAGTTGGACGACGATCTTTGCTGTCATTTTTAGGGACCATGTGCGACGGAAATGCCCATGGGCTGTTTGACGGTCTTATGATTCATAAGTCTATCATTTGGTAGAACTTGTTTTTCGCCAACCTTAGCTTTTCGGGGGCTAGACGTCATGTTTTAGAGAATACAGGTGGTCCTGTAGTCGTGATTTGATGTATAACATTGCTGGTTACACATGGTAATTTCGGTTGCGTTTGGTGTACCCCAGGAAACTTATCGAGTAGTGGTTGATAGAAAGGGTCTATCGTGTGCTTAATTGTGACTGGAGATAACCTGCAACCAGAAAAAGAAGTTGCGCAAACAGATAGATTGGTGTTTCCGTCTACTAGCTTCCGTTTGCGTGTATCGATGAGTAGATTATGGTGTTGTAGAAGGTCTATGCCAATCATTGGCATAGAAAAATCTGCAACAATGAAGATCAAGTGTATGGGTTTGCATAAACCCACGTTGAGGTAAACGTACCTTTTACCGTATGTGGCAATAGGCTTTCAATTTGCCGCCCATGGATTTGAAACCGATTCGTTAAGCCGGTCGTTGGGATTCGCTGGGAGAACGCTATCTTCTGCGCCAGTGTCGACGAGGTAGCGAACTCTCGTTGTCACATCTGTGACGTACAACAGACGGCTATGTTCGCCGGCTACGGTTGCCGTTAACACGTGCCGGCTTGGAAGTTTCCCGAGTTGTTTTTCGAGTCAGTCGGTTTCGTGCTGGGAAAATTGCAGGGTTTTCTGCAATTTCTGGAAGACTTTCCATACTGGTTATGATACTAGCACCAGTCGGGGTTATGTCATTCTGGGTCGTTTGAGGGCTTTTGACTGGAAAAACCTCGACATTAGAAGATTTCGTGAGTTCTAAGATGCGGTCGGCAGATGCAGCCAGCTCGGCTACGGTGTTGTTTTGAAACGATACGAGCACAGCTTGCACCTGTTGAGGAATTTCGGATAAGAAATGATGTTTGAATAAGCCACCATCAAAGGTTCTTTGGCCGATAACCTCTCATTATTTGCAACATGTCCGTCGCAGAACCGTGTTGCAGGTCGATGTTATTAAGTAGTTGGTCTAACCTTTGTCGATGGGTTAGGCCTCCGCGTTTAAGGATAGATCGATTCAGTATTTCGTAGGGCTCAGAAACATCACTAGAAAAAATGCTAGGTATTACGTACCTGTTGTTTTAGCGCAGTAGTGCCTTGACTACTGCGAGGGATTGTGTACGTGAGTCATTCACGCCGTGCTCGGAGAAGTCAGCTTCTGCGTACCAGAACCAGGCCCCGATGTTGTCCGGCCAGAAGAGCATTAGTTGGTGCTAAGGTGAGGATATAGTCTTTAACTTAAGTACCTTGATGTCTGTTCAGTCGTGGTGAAATATCAAGTACGAGAATAAAGGAGTGAAAAAATACACGTTCAAAACACGGAAAAAATATCACAATGTACAAAAAATTAAAATAAGGCAATGATATATAAAATCCCGAGAAGGAACAGACTCATAGTTTGCAATTTGGTGTACCAGATCACGTCGGGCTCAACAGTGATGGTGCCACAGGTGTTCGGAGTTTGAAAATTCCCTAACCAGTAACACCTATCATGAATCGTACCCACCAAGTGAAATCGCAAAACAGAAGCGAGGATGTTCGAAGATATAGTTGATAGATTATCAATATAACGAGGATCGTCTGATCTAATCTGGCTAGCGATTGCAGTAGATGTTGAGCACGACGTTCCTACTCGTGATCTGGTGCGGATGCATGGTCGAGCGCCTTCAGCTAGGTGAGTCCATTAAAACCAATGTGGAAAGCATCCAATGTCGAAAACTGACAGTTATTTATTTTGGGGATTTATTTACCGCTACAGATTGATTATGTCTCACTGATGAAGATTTTTTAGTTTACAACATTTTTCGAGTGTTACGTGCAATTAGTGTGTAGAAATAACTCACAGTGAATGCAAATATAATTACGTGTACAATGTTACACAACAAAAATTGATAAGATATCATGATCATGAAGATTACGGAATTTTTATGTCGTCAAAAGACGCACACTTGACAACTCTTCAGATCAAGGGGTTCTAGGTACTGTTTTGGTCAGTCGTCTCATTTACTTAGCAACAATTTCGCATTCGGGTTGGGGACATTGTACATTGCACATGTTAAGCGGCAATTCGGCTTCGTCGACACTGTTTCAAGCACACTATGGTTTCAAGCCCATACATAGTCTTTTTTGATACCTTCACTCACAATGGACAGATTCAAGTAATTCTCTCGAGAAAATTTAAATTATTTTTTATCAGGAAAGTGTAGACTGTGTCCGGTTTAAGAGTGGCATTGAGTTGGTGAAGATATGCATCTTACCGTTCGGTTCTGTAGTCGAGAGTAACTTATCTGATGAACCACTTTTGGGGTAATTCCGATATTCAAATTTGCAGCTGACAAAATAGAGCTACCAATCCTGCATCTTTCGATATAACGGTTTACAGCAACAGCCAGACAAATTGTATTGTATTACAAAGTGTTGCTAAGTGAGTTTTGTTTATTCGTTTATATTTGTCTTCACAGGTACTTTTTCAGTGAAAAAACAGGGATCAATACCATCTACTTTAAAAAGCCTATTCAGTCGAACTTTTTACTTTTCCGTGGAATGTACTCAACACTGACGATTGCCCTATTCGGCTTGCCTACTATGTCTCTATCTGTTCAGTCACTGGCCCCAGCCACAAACCTTTCGATACCCCCGCCTACAATGGGCTTAACAATTGGAGCTGTGGAAACAAGTATGTGGAAAATTAACCTCTCAAACTTTAGCTACCTCTGGGTTTTATGCTCCAAACAAAATTCCTGAAATTCAGACGGAACAAAAGGTATGTTTTTAATTCTCTTGGTATTTCGTTATAAATTTTCTCTTGAGTAGGGGAAATACACCGTTAGTTATTGCTCTCTGTTAGCTTCGAGTCTTTTATGTCTGTGTAGGAGGCATTTTATGCGCTACATAAGCAGTTCCTACACCGTATTTATGGGACTTAAATGGCTTTCCCTGTCGCCTGGTAGGATCTTTCACTTAGTTGTCTTAACTTTCATCGTCTTTATTGTGTCCCAGGATTTTTAATGGAACTACCTAGACTTCCATGACATGACTGAACTTTAAGTTTCTATTACTTAAAAGCTTATCTATTGCTCCAAATTTACCCAGACATATTTGTTGCAAACTATTTTAAATTAGTACCACCCAATTAATTATTATCCTTGTTATGTCTGGAGAATAAATAACTGGTACTAGAACCCTACGTCCGACAACACGTAGTAAGAACATGAAAAATTGATAATATTGATTTATTTAACCGTCAGAATAAATCGAAACGATAAATGAATACGTTCATTTGTTTGTTGATTTTACTCACAAGTGATGATTAGTCAATATTTATCGCATATAGAAGAAATATATAGGACTACTGCTGAAATAGAAGCTACGAACTTCATAGAGTTATTGTAAAGAGTATCACCTCGAATAAACATCATACGGAAATAGATAAATGCTTTACTGAATGAACCATCATACTAAGAAAAACAGTCGGGTTTCTCATTTTCAAGATTTTCAGATATGTGGTCTTTCGTAAGATATTCTGCATATAGGGTATAACTACAGTGTCGGTTTACTCATATAATCATTTATTCACTTATTGTGACTGAATTGTCGGGTATTGACCTCCTTCCAGAAAGTCCACTTATCGACTTAGAATACGCAGATGACATAGTCCTGTTTGGTGAAGACGCTGATAAAATGCAGAGTCTTCTGGTAGTACTAAGCAACAATGCCAGAGTATTTGGGATGCGCTACTCTCCCTCTAAATGCAAGTTGTTGCTTCAGAACTGGTCTGTGTCAACACCTGAACTAAGGATAGCGAGTGAAGTAGTCGAACGCGTTGACAACTTCACTTATCTTGGAAGTCCGATCAGCCCTAATGGGTTGGTGTCTGACGAAATCTCTACACGGATTCGAAAAGCTCGCTTGGCTTTTGCCCACTTACGTCACCTATGGCGCAGACGCGATATCTGTCTATCAACAAAAGGACGAGTATACTGTGCGGCAGTTCGTTCTGTTTTACTTTATGACCGCGAAACATAGCCATTGGGAGTAGAAGATACTCGTAAGCTACTAGTATTTGACCACAGATGTCTTAGAAATATTGCTTGCATCTTCTGGGATCACCGGGTAAGTAATAGTGAGGTTAGACCCAGGGTATTAGGGAATGATGGTAAGTCAGTTGATGAGGTTGTGGATCTTCATCGACTGAGATGGTTTGCCTGAACACCGATTACCACGACGTGCAATGCTAACCGGTGTTGGAGATGGTTGGGAGGAAGTTAGGGTCGGTCGAACCAAAACGTGGCATCAGTGCTTGAAGACACTAACTTCTAGTCTGAGCCATGTTGGTAGGTGTAGACTACTTGGTTGGGGTCCGCGTGACTATCCTAAGCCATGGTTGGAGACTCTGTTGGACAAGGATCAGAATCGATCACAATGGCGTCGGTGTATACACTGTCTTCCCTTAAACTAAGAGATTAAAATCACTTCATATCTTTCATTCTACGAACTAATTCTTTCTTCGTGTACAATGTTCTTATATGCAATCTTTCTTTTATATATTACCACCATTGACTTAACCACTCTTATGAATCCAATGTTCATCTTGCTGTGCTAATGCGGTATGGCAACTTGGACCGATGCATATATGTGCCTGATTATACGTTGTAGTTGACTGACTGACTATTGTGACAACTGTTATGAAGTCTCAATAGCACTTAGTATTTTGTGGCCCTCGAGGGGATTTAAAATCTTGTAGCACATGTGAAGTTGAACGAGTGAGTCGTAGTAAGTCTTGTTAAAATTGATTCAGGTAGTAAATAGTGATTCGTAGGGCTAAGATTCGACTATTTAGACTACTAAATCCCAGCTAGAGGTGAGTCTCGAATGTTATTGTGAATTTGTTGTTTATCTTGATTTGTCAGCAGTCTGAAAACAAGCCTATTAAGTGGAGACTCTTATAGGTTTAAATAGATACTGGTCGATGTAGTGGTTGAATTTTTAACTGTCCAAGGTTAAAGTAAAAAATGCCACGTTGTATAGCGTCTTTTTGCCGTTGGGTGACTGTGAGACTTAAGTATGGGTTTGTACACAAAGTTTTTAGCCCGACTTTCATGATTTTCCTGTTCACATCCTATGCTGCTTTTTTGTGTTAGACTTTCTGGACTTTGTAGGTAATTAAATTCCTCTGAACATATTTCACTTTTCCATTCTTCAGCTCAGTTTTGTTTTCATTCAGTTGGTCTTTTTATTTTTAGCCTGATGTTCCAAGTAATTGGCAACAATGTAGTGTCCAAACATCTGCAGATAGTTATATGAAGTCTCAGACCCTAAATGTTTGTTCACTACAACTTGAAAGTGATCAGTCTTCCGTCCTCCCTGTTACAGAGACTGAACTGGAGGAGAAAGTAGATGATCCTAAGGCATTGAATACGGAATCTGCTGGTATTTATGAAGATGGGGAGATACAAGTAAGTTTTGGTAAACCGTTACTTTTATGACAGTCGGTGATTTCCAAATAGTACTTTATGTTATCTAGTGTGTTTGGTAGGTAAACAGTTACATTAGTGTACAGATGTGCAAGACGGAATTGTCGGTCTTGAATTTTGCGTCCTTTAGTCAAACAGTACTTCATTTGCATTTCTTGACTCTCATCTTTTAACACATCCATCATGTCCCTTTCCTTTTATGGAAGTAAGTTAACGTATTTAGGTGCGAAAGATAAGTCCCTTTAAAATATGTTTGAGTAATTACTTCTGTAGAGTTTTGGGTACGATATTCTAGTTTCTCGGAATGTTGCTAAACATTCATTTGAATCTTTTACACTCCTTGATTATAATCCTTCCTAGCATATGTGAGCATCAATGAGACAGTATAAAAGGAATGTCTTCGTGGCCACCGGCTTGTTAGTTGCTCTATGTAATAGAATTTTCTGCTTTTTTTGTGCTTAATCTGTCAAGTTCCGTTCCTAAAAAATTAAGGGAATCCATTTGACCAACACGTTTGCTAGAAATCCTCTATTTGTAGTTATTTAACCTATAAATGAACCTCAAAAACGGTAGGCTCGTCGAAGTCAAGGATATTTCAAATATAGGGACGTATTGGGTTAATTTGTATCCTTCAAGCTTTGTAATAAAATCATTCTCATGGACTTCACGTTGATTTTTGATTTGAAGTCAGTATTTAACCTTATCATTTTGAAGTTTTCATAGCAACGCTTAATTTTGGAGAGTGTACGGAATAGCTACTTTACTTAAATCCATGGAGTTTTGTAAAGGCTTGAAGGGGTTCCATTTAAAGCGGCGTTTTCTTTTTGTTGTTTTAGACGGTTCTGTTAATTTCGTAATCGGAGATTCACTGTCATTCTTAGAAAGTTCCAAGTGGCTTGTAATGCTTCAGATTTCGTTGGATCGATAGTTAACGGTCGAAAGGCATATTTGACTTTCGTAGCGAATGATCTGTCTAACTATCTTTCAAAATATTTCATTCAAGATTCAATGTATCATTGTATGTTACTGGTTGGCGTCCCGTTTAAATTAGCATATTTTTTCCACAAAAATCATGTTTTTATCTGGATCAGTCAAAATATATTATAGCTGTTATTAGATATAATTGTTGCTTTCGAACTATTAGCATACCATGCTCTTAAGGAAGCTTTATGAAGCTTTCCGGTCCGTTCTTTATTCTGTTTGCCGTTGTAGGAAGCTATCCCTTGCAAGTTGGGGCATTTTAGTAATACTTTGTCAGTATTCAGTGCTTATCTGAACTGATAGCTAAACAATTAGTTGCAACAATATATATATATATATATATATATATATATATATATATATATATATATATATATATATATTCAAATTTAAATTGTCTGACAAGGTTTGTGTGCAATGGCCTGAGTTACGTTTATTGCACTTACTATAAATGCTACCTGAGTTTTCTGATCACAGTAGTTAGATCAAGTTTAATCACTATGTTTCAGCCTTACTATAGATATTCTGTGCAGATATCATTATAAATTTAGTGTTTTTGTGCCTTGTCTAGTGTGTATCATCACTAGCATTATCCACCAAATTTATGACGTACACTTTCGTTTATTCTATATATAGGATGTCGATTATGAGGAAATATCATCAAATGAAGAAGTGTTTTCCGAAATCGAAGATGGTGAGAATTTAGAGGTATTGGTTCTTATATTTATGTACTTTTTGATTCAAATCAGTGTTAAGAGTTCGTTGTTAGATACCTTAGGTTATAATAAAATTCTTTGAAGTGAAAAATGAAATTTCATTAAAAAAGACCTTTATTTTAACGAGATATTTTCATTGAAATGTATTTTCTAGTTAACGGATGTCTTAAAACAAATGTGTTAAAATGGTGTTACTTCAGAGTTATTCTAGTAAGGGATATTGGCATTCTTCTACAAATGTGGAGAGTATTAAATGTGAAATCCAGTGAAAACAGTGAATATTATCTGCATTAAAATCCACAGTTAGCATTATTAACCTGTTAAGTGAAGACGGGGATTACTTTTAAGGATAATCTTTCTTAAATTTTCCTGAAAATTAAGGGACAGTTGCCTTAATGATCTTGGTAAACTCTTGATAACACCTTTCTATTGTCACATTTTATACATCCAGGTATGCAGATAAATCCAAACTATAAGTGACTGATTTTTCACACCTACAATATATCAAGATTATACTAGAACGGTATATTTTTGCTTTTATTCTCAAATCTTAAGATCATATAATTTGTTTACCAAATTGTTTCAGATTGGTGATCAACAGTCAGATATTGAAGAAGTTAATGAAATTGAATCTCAAATTTCGTCATGCCAATGGCGCTTCAATCCATTTGATTTAATCGACCAGTATACTACCGTATTTTCATGCGAATTCCATCGGATTGCAGATCCAACACTAACCTTATTCCAGGTGAACGACAGTACTGTGCTGCCATTTCATTCTATTTCAGTATTTTTTGAATGTTGATTTATTAACCTAGATACCTCATTGACCACCAGTTTATAAACTTATGGTTCACTCCTGTTAAACCAATTATTATAGGTTACCTCGTGGTTTATACAGTACGAATGATTCATAACAGCGTATCCTCATTATCTTGATATGCTAACTGGTTTGTTTCTGTTCATAAATGGAGAAAAGGACTTTTTATCGTTTAAAACATATTATGGTCTGGAAGTGCTGTTTAGAAGTTAGAGTGGGTTGCTAGTTGTTTTGCGCGATAGCACGTGCCTCACAACTGTACTTTTAAAAGTTCCTTTGACTCATACAATTTTGTTATGAGGCAGATTATTGCCCATGACATGGTAGAAAATAATTCTAAACAGGTAGTTTTATATTGTACATGTTTTCACTAGCTACACTGCTGGCTATTAGAACGTGGATCATCGGGTAAAGATCAGTTGTTTTCAGAAAATGAAATGTTTCATCAGAATTCCAGTGAAAATGAAGTTGGTTCGAACATAAATTTACTACCTCCTCCAGATGATTGGGCTGATGCAAGTCAGTCTGCGGAATTTCTAGTTGAAATGGCGAAAAAATACTGTTCAGGATCAACTACAGGCTTTCATGAAGAGTAGGTGATGTATTTTAACCGGGTTTCTTGCCTTCTGTTATATATTTATTTGTATATTCCCACTGACTGTTTAATTTTGTAGAGTTGTATTCTGTGCTTGTATACGTGTTATACCACAAAGTATTGTCTATTTTGAAAAAAAGTAAGGAGTTTCTCAGTATCAGAGCTAACTGGTGACATTTGATATTTAGTTTCTGTTGGGATTCACGTTTCACATACATAGCGAGTCATGAGTCAAAGTTGTAAGCAAACTTCCGACCACTATTCTTGATTTTCGCTGTTATAATTGAAGGTGTATCGAATGTATGAAAACACAGTAGGAGTCATGCTTTATTTCATACACATAGTTCCCTTTATCATTTTGAAAAGAGCAAGAACAAAGATTCTAGCAGAATAACATGAATTCATTTTATTTCGTAGGTTCTCGTCAGCTGTTTACAACCTATAGTATTTAAAAAGATAATAATTACATAATGGGTTTGAATTGCTTACATGAGAGGGTTTATATTTAAGAAATATTCGTAAAGTATGACATGGGTGTAAATGAAATTAATAGGCTGAATATTGTAAATATATACCTAATGTGAAAGAATATTCTAGAGCATTAATTGTGACAACAGTTCAAAGGGGTAGAAACAATTGATTACATACTAAATAAACATTGATAGGAACATAGTGAGTAGAGTTCAGTTGAAAGACTATTAATTTTTAAAGATAGTTGAAAAAATAAAATCAATGACGTAATAAATATAAAAGATAAAATTAAAAATAAAAAAATTTTTAAGCTGCAGCGGAAGAATATTTGTCACCAAGGCAGGGAAAGATTAACAATCATCTCCTTCTGAACACATAAATCAGGTTTTTGGCGCCTGATAGCAACTGCTTCAGCAAACTTCAGAAGACTGGAGTTTGGCTGCTTACTAATAACCTTGAATGATTGTAGGGTGTCAACCTGATGGCCTGTGTCAAGCAGATGTTTAGTGATTGCGCTACTTAGAGTCTTTCTTTCTCTTGTTCTGAGGTTTTTTGGAACATGTTCAAAAAATCTGAGATATGCCCTCCTTTCTGTTCGGCCAATGTAGCTGCTTTGGCAGGTACATGTAAATTTATAAATACAATTGGCGGTAACATGAAAAGGATGCTTATCAACCTTTGATTGAGTTAATGAACATGTTGTTTTATAAAGAATTTGAAGTTTGGCCGCCGGATAGGTTCTGGCTAGCGCAGTATTCAGTCTCCTGTTGATTGTGTTTGCAACCTCGTCACCTTTGAAGTTTAGACTTATAGTTATTGGTTTTTTATTGACAGTAATTACTTCAGTATTATTTTCTTTACGCTTTTTATATTTTTCAATAAACTTTTGTGGGTAATAGTTGTCTCGTAGGCATTTTTGTACGTTCATCAATTCTTCTTCCAGCTTATCAGTGGTACAAATCTTTTCTGCCCTATAAAATAGTGTCTTAACTAGTGCCTTCGTGTAGATGAGTGGACAAAAACTATTGAAATTCAGGTAAAGGCCATTCCAAGTACTTTTTCGATAAAGCGAACGTTGGACTGTCCCGTCTCTCCTACGTTTTATAGCAACATCAAGAAAGTGGAACATGTCATTCTGTTCGTGTTCCATAGTAAATTGAATGTTAGGATGTGCATTATTGAAGAGTTCTAGCAGGCGGATTGCATGCTGTTTATTGTTGCAGACAATGAACGTGTCATCAACATATCTGGAATATTCCGTCGTTTCACTAATCGCCTGATTAAGCACCATGTTTTCAAGATACCTCATAAAAATATCTGCCAGAATTGGACCTAGTGGGCTTCCCATTGCTACGCCATCGATTTGACGATATATGGTGTTATTAAACTGGAATTGGACGTCTGTTGTGCACATTAATAGTAGTTTTTTGAATTCTATCCAAAGAACATCTAATAGCCCTCAGAAACATCAAACAAAATAATGAGGTGATGATTGATAATTCTACTTACAACGATCTAAGACCACGTGGTTCACGCCTACCACATATGTATGGTTTAATAACACCATATATCGTCAAATCGATGGCGTAGCAATGGGAAGCCCACTAGGTCCAATTCTGGCAGATATTTTTATGGGGTATCTTGAAAACATGGTGCTTAATCAGGCGATTAGTGAAACGACGGAATATTCCAGATATGTTGATGACACGTTCATTGTCTGCAACAATAAACAGCATGCAATCCGCCTGCTAGAACTCTTCAATAATGCACATCCTAACATTCAATTTACTATGGAACACGAACAGAATGACATGTTCCACTTTCTTGATGTTGCTATAAAACGTAGGAGAGACGGGACAGTCCAACGTTCGCTTTATCGAAAAAGTACTTGGAATGGCCTTTACCTGAATTTCAATAGTTTTTGTCCACTCATCTACACGAAGGCACTAGTTAAGACACTATTTTATAGGGCAGAAAAGATTTGTACCACTGATAAGCTGGAAGAAGAATTGATGAACGTACAAAAATGCCTACGAGACAACTATTACCCACAAAAGTTTATTGAAAAATATAAAAAGCGTAAAGAAAATAATACTGAAGTAATTACTGTCAATAAAAAACCAATAACTATAAGTCTAAACTTCAAAGGTGACGAGGTTGCAAACACAATCAACAGGAGACTGAATACTGCGCTAGCCAGAACCTATCCGGCGGCCAAACTTCAAATTCTTTATAAAACAACATGTTCATTAACTCAATCAAAGGTTGATAAGCATCCTTTTCATGTTACCGCCAATTGTATTTATAAATTTACATGTACCTGCCAAAGCAGCTACATTGGCCGAACAGAAAGGAGGGCATATCTCAGATTTTTTGAACATGTTCCAAAAAACCTCAGAACAAGAGAAAGAAAGACTCTAAGTAGCGCAATCACTAAACATCTGCTTGACACAGGCCATCAGGTTGACACCCTACAATCATTCAAGGTTATTAGTAAGCAGCCAAACTCCAGTCTTCTGAAGTTTGCTGAAGCAGTTGCTATCAGGCGCCAAAAACCTGATTTATGTGTTCAGAAGGAGATGATTGTTAATCTTTCCCTGCCTTGGTGACAAATATTCTTCCGCTGCAGCTGAAAAATTTTTTTATTTTTAATTTTATCTTTTATATTTATTACGTCATTGATTTTATTTTTTCAACTATTTTTAAAAATTAATAGTCTTTTAACTGAACTCTACTCACTATGTTCCTATCAATGTTTATTTAGTATGTAATCAATTGTTTCTACCCCTTTGAACTGTTGTCACAATTAATGCTCTAGAATATTCTTTCACATTAGGTATATATTTACAATATTCAGCCTATTAATTTCATTTACACCCATGTCATACTTTACGAATATTTCTTAAATATAAACCCTCTCATGTAAGCAATTCAAACCCATTATGTAATTATTATCTTTTTAAATACTATAGGTTGTAAGCAGCTGACGAGAACCTACGAAATAGGATGAATTCATGTTATTCTGCTAGAATCTTTGTTCTTGCTCATAATTTATTGTTAGTACTATGGGAGGTATTACAGTCTTCATGTTTTTTTGCTACATAATAAACAGTACGGTGCAATTAAACTTCGTCACCTAAATATATTTTATTTCTCTTGTAGATATCTATCAGTTGATCCAATTTATTCTACATCCACTTTATGAAACATGTTAGCCTTGTGTATGATCTATTGTTAGGAGAGTGTTTTTCAAAGCCGCTCAATCTTATTTTTAATTTGCTGTCTTAATACAAAGCTACATGAAGTAGCTCAAGTGATTGCATTCTGAATAATTCCGAACCTATAAGGGATGTAAGTTGTTTGAGGTAAATCTATATCCGGTAAGGTAAAGTAGGAGAACAGTCATGGTCAGGTAGTTTGACAAAATTATTTTCGCCTGGTTATATTTTAATGACTCATCCAAATCAAAACTCATTGTTAGTGAACAGATAAAAGTTCCAGATAGTTGTTTATGCCTACGTGATAAGTGTGTTGATGGTTTGCGCTTTCTTGGTTATTTTATTACAATAAGTTGCAATCCCAGCGTTTTTTAGATGTTTATAATTGCTTTAGCTTCCGCAATTAGATACGAATGATAGTTTCGAGATACTTGCTCTTCTGCATCCTTCTCGAATGAAGGTGATATTTCTTAAGAACAAAGACGAATGTTTTTGCCAGTCGTTTTCATCTTTCATGAACTTAAACGCTGTGTTAGGATTGTTACATGTCAACGTTTCAAGAACATTTATAATGTAGGTATACTATGTGTAGCACAGTTTGTCGCTCATCCGCTTGTTTGGTCAATGGTGCACAACTAGGGGGAATGTTTAGGTCTTAGTTGGCTTAATCGTCGGTGGTAACTGTGACTAAACCGGTCAATGTGCCTAACTCTCAACCATTAGGCGAAATGTTTGGATGTCTTCGCAGCTACTTTAGTTCAGGTAACCTGGTAGTATTATTATCTCTAATACAATGTTTGACTGCAAACCAGGTAAAGAAACTTATGCTTGTGGTTACTGAGTTTCTCTTATTAATAGTTGTTTTATTGTGTATGTAGGCTTTTTTTAGATTAGGTTAAGGTAGTATCTTATATGATATCAATTGATAACAAATATTGTGTTGATAACTGATTTATTTCAGATGGGTTGATGCTTTGGATACTATTGGTACTCATTTGGCTGAAAGTTTAGCTTTTCTGTACTGCACAGATCGGAATTTGTATCAGAGTATGTTTTATTTTGGTTAGATAATTTAATAATGACAAAACTTCAATTATTTGGAAATTTCCGAATTTCTTGTTAGTTTTAATAGCCACAATCGCTGTACAGTAACTTACATAATGACGTAGCTGTACTTTAAGTCAAATCGATATATTCTTTGCGTGATTTAAAAGAATCATGCTTTAGTTATTCTTACTGCATCTGATTTGCTTACTGCTAAATAACAAAGCACTACTTAGTAATTGGGAATTTAAAAAATGGCAGCAGTAATACCATAGTCGGATATGTTGAAACTTTGTGAAAAAATCATGGATTAATGACTAAACTTCAGAGTAATTCGTCGAACTATCAAACCAACGTTGTTGTCTACTGTTGTCCAGCCAAACAATTCCTATTGATTATGGGAATAGAAGTGTTTTCTGACTTCACTAGCTTAGTTGTAGCCTAGAGAAAAAAAGACTTTCCAAAATCGCTGATTATTATAATTATATTTTGCATAGGTTTGCATATACCTTTTCTCCCTCTATCTTTTCTACTAGGTGTCGTTGAAACGCTTCAGTTATGGGTTTATACAGGTTTAAATATGGATTTGGCATTAAGTCAACCGAATGCATCATACATTGTTAAGCATATTATGGCAGGTGTGAATCTTGCTGGTCTTGTAACTAGTACAATTAATTCAGAAATAGCAAATGCATTACTTTATCCAGTTACTTCAGAGAATGGTAATGATGCAAATTTTGCACAAATAGACGATTTACAAGTTAGTAATTTTAATATGAATTTTAAATTGTTATGTGTAACTGTTATCATTCCCATCCATATACATATTTGATTTTAATAAACCAATGGGAAAAAATACATTTGTAAGTAATATGTCTTGCTAGATAAACTCTCGATTCGTTTTCCTAGTTGGTTCTGAAACCCCTAACTACTTCCACGCGACAAGAGGGCGCGAATAGAAGCTATACTCCATGGTTATTTTTACTGTTCCAGGTAGTCATAAGCTTTTAGGATCTTCTGGAACCATACTATATTAGTCACATAGGTAATTACCAAATAAAAACCGTGACGCGTGATTTTTTCTTTTCTGCGAAGATTCTATTCAGTACTGGTTGGATAACAAGTTTCTTGGGGTTTATGCACCTCTAGAGACTTTTTGACGGATACTTTTGGGACTCCTCCTACAGTAACTCCCAAAAGTTAAGGTGACGAATAAGTTTGCCAGGTGCATTAAAGGAGACATTTCATTGCTTTTTGTATCCACCCATCTTCATCAGAAAATTTTAGTAATGCAGTAAAATACTTAAACGATGTATATCTTTTCCGAATATGAGAAAAATGGGGTTGTTATCCCGACAAACAATCATCTTATGTTTATTTTACTTGATTATTCCTTGTGTACTTCTCTTTAGTTTATTGTACTAATCTCTTTATTTTTATCAAATACTTGTTGGCTGATTGATTTCTTTCTCATTATTTTCTCCTATACTTCCATTTGTTTGTCAGAATTTTGAGCTCTGTACTTTATCATTGTTTCTATTTCTGGCAAAGTATTGTTTTAATTTGAGAACATGTGTGATTTGAAGATTAGTATGTCAGTCAGCTACAACGTAGGACCAGGCACATATGTGCATCGGTCCAGGTTGCCATACCGCATCAGCACAGCAAGATGAACACCGGATTCATAGGAGTGGTTAGGTCAAAGGTTGCAATAAGGATATAGTATAGGAAGAAAGAATTAGTTCGTAGACAGAAAGAATGAAGTGATTTTAGTCTCTTAGTTTAAGGGAAGACAGGGAGTGTATGCACCGACGCCATTGTGATCGATTCCGAGCCATGTCCCCAAGAGTCTCCAACCATTGGTTACGAAAGTCACGCGGACCCCAACCAAGTAGTCTGCATCTACCAACGTGGCTCAGACTAGAAGTCAGTGACTTCAGGCACTGATGCCACGTTTTGGTTTGGCCGCCCCTAACTTTCTTCCAACCATCCCCTACCCCGGTTAGCATTGCACGTCGTGGTAATCTGTGTTCAGGCATACGTAATACGTGGCCCAACCATCTCAGTCGATGAAGATTCATAACCTCATCAACTGATTTACCATCATTCCCTAATACCCTGCGTCTAACCTCGCTATTACTTACCCGGTGATCCCAGCAGATGCGAGCAATATTTCTAAGGCATCTGTGGTCAAATACTAGTAGCTTACGGGTGTCTTCTACTCTTAAGGGCCATGTTTCGCTGCCGTAAATTAAGACAGAACGAACTGCCGCGCAGTATACTCGTCCTTTTATGTAATTGTAGACTAAATGACTGTCAGGGCATGAAAATGTTCTTAATTGTGATTTTGACTGACATTATACCATTTAACGTACTGTCGAATTAGCAACACTATCAAATAATATTCAGATATTTTCTTGTTTTATTTGTTTTTTGTTGGTTCACTGAACTGTTCGATATATATCGTCATAATTGCAGGTTCAACATTTACTCTTAAATCTTTTGGAATCTCCTTTGATTACAACACCATTAAGACTTACTATCTGTCGTGCTTTGGATCAAACTACACGATTGCCCATTGGATTAAATGCCTTTTTGGGGACAACACAAATAAATTCAGACCGAAAAGGCGATTTTAAAGAAAATTTGAACAGTTCCGACTTTAAATCCCTTGAAACCAATACAAATTCTGATGATGTAGGTCACTGTTATACAATTAAAACAAATGATGAAGATAGTGAGCGATTCAGTGATCAAACGAAATGGGATGAGTCTATTAAAAAGCATGTCATTAATAACAGTGATGATGTGGAAATGCTTGACAGACCTTTACCATCCAACAAAATTCAATCACCTTATCAACGTTTCATTTTTATTGTCAGCTGTAGTAAAGTAAGGTTTATATATATTTATACTTATTTCAATTTATTATTGTGGAGGTTATATGATTGATTGATTTACAAATGTATGACTGACTGACATAATCTTGATTGTTATAAATGATTCACTGTATATCTTATTCCAATGTGTGTCACACCGATTCAAGTTTACTCAAATTAATCCCCTTATTCTAATACATTTCAAATAAGGATGGTGTATTTACGTAGATTGATGGCTCAGTGATTATGATGTTTGACCTTCAGCTACTAGATCACAGTTTGGAATACCGATCCACCTTCTTTAGTTCCTGCATCAGAAGTGTATCATTAACTCACACACATAAAGTGTGACGGAAAGTCGAGTACATGAATTAAAAAATTGTGATAAGTTTCAGCATAAAGTCTTTCATAATCGTTATAACTACAAATTGTACTTACTATTCTTAAGTCACGTTTTTACCATCTAAGTAAGCAGTGTTTAATCTTCACTTACTGTTTTAACAATATTGTTTTTCTATAAATTCTGTTCTCTTATTCAAATATGTTAATTTTCTTACTTTAGAACTCTCGTACAACTGCTGCATATGAAAGACTATTAAATAAAGTACATACTTATGAACTCTTACTGGAGTTTCCAAAGTTAGTAAACCGGTGAGTTTTCAGTGTCTTCTAGGATTCTAATTGAATATTCATGGAACAGTAATGTAACAAAACTGTTTCAATGTCAGTTAAAGCTAGATAAATTAAATATTGTGATATGTTATGCTGTAATGAACCCACTCAGGAATTACTCAATCTAATATATTCTATATATTTTTATCTTAATGGAAGATCATTTTCACCGTAGGCTGAGAAAAAACTACACGATCGTTCAAGACCAGGAGGCATTGAAATTTGTTTCGTCCTAGTTTTAACTTCGTATTTGGTATGTTTTCACTACTCCGAATGGAATGGAAATCATAATTTTCAAGTCTTTTGTGGTGAATGATGTAATCTGATCACTAATTTGGAATCTGATCTTCCATATTTTGCAACCTCATTCCAACATAATAAGGAATAAATAAACCTGGTGGTTAGGTTTTGCCCATATTAGCTGATAAATAGTTTAGAAAAATCTATGTCCTATATTTGATCGCCTTTTAAATGACTTCTAATGTTTCATTGTTTTGTTTTAAATATTTTGTATATGTATCACTAATAAAAAAAAGGAACGACTCTGGTTATTAGTTGTTATCTCTTTTAATATCTGTTCGCTGATATTCAAGTAGTTAAGCCCATTCTTAATGTTTTCAGTTTACAAAAAATCACTGAACAACAATTGTCCGGAAATGATGACAGTTTGCTTAAAATTTTGGAATTACAACAAACTTTAATCAACCATTTAGGAAAACTTAAACATATTTTTCGAAATGCTGAACAAATCATAGTAAGTCCGTTATTGTTGTACATTATTGTATTATATTAATTTTTTATCACTATATGTTTGTCTGTTATTACTATATTTAATGAACATTGTACTATGCGTCCTTCTGTCAATTTATTTTAAGATAAAGTGAATCTATAACATTATTATTTGAACTTTATGTCGTATACACATCTGCTTTGATAACATACTTATCAAACTATATAAACCAAATAACTGGATACCCATTTTAAACTATAATCCACAGATGCTATGCATGAGAGATGATGGCGCTATTTAACAATCTAGATTTTTCGAAATGTGACTGGTTTTTTAAATTATAATCTAGTAGGTTAAAAATTAATCCCCTTTACTAAGTATAAACTCCACCTGAATTTTTTGGTCAATCTACTTGTAGATTTTTACCCATTTTATCAGTATTTGTAGTTATATCATTGATTCAATATAGTCTTATGGAATATGCAATTTATGGTTTTAACATTGTTTATACAGATACTAACAGTCGTTTGGTAGTTTTGTTTTTATTTCTACATTCTTCAATGCTAATTTATTTTCAGTTTCCCAGAACTTCACGTATCTAGCTTATTTTATTCTTGATCATTTCCATTTTTATTTGTTGTAAATTTTTTAACTGGTAAACTTGATCCTTTCCATAAACTATGTAATGTGATACTTTTAAAAAATTTCAAGAATAGATAATTAATGGCTCGTAAAGGGAAAAGAAGAAATCATTGATTCAAATTAGATAGATGCATATAATGTTGAATAATAATCAGGAGACTGTCTTGATTCCATGTATGTAGTCCTATATTTCGTAAACAGTTTGAGTGATATAGTTGAACTGATAAATACGTTAAGAACTGGCTGAAAAATGACAATCATCTTAATATGTTGATTACATTGTCAGTGATGAATAGAAAGTACGTTTTCAATTAACCAATAAAGTATGACTTAGGTAAAAGTTTGTAATAAAGTAGCAATAGGCAGTTTTGTGTAATGTTAGAAAAAAAACATAAATTTCACAAATTTTTGATGCAGATACTGAACTATTTCTCTTTTATGATTTCTCAAAAATAACTACAGAATTAATGTGCAACTACCCTAGGACTATTTTATTAGTATTATTTAGTTTAAAATATAATTATCACTATGATATTGGTTTGACATTGTGGTCCTATGATTTATTAAGCATTAATAAAACTATTCATTTCGTTATCTCTCTTTCTTAGTGTTATATTATTACGGTCAATGGTTTGTAAGCATTTTATCTGAGTAACGCAAAGCTTCATCTTTGAGATATTAAAGTCCCAGTATAGATGATTGCGAATTCATTGCTTTGGATAGTGAATTTTTGAGAAAATTAAATTTTATAATTGAGGAACACTTTTAATTAGGTGTTAGATGGCGATCTATAAGCCCAGTCTCTTCTGAGTAGTTTTTGAGTAATCTTATATGCTTAAAATGTAAATACTGTAGCAAAAAAAGAATTAAAATTTTCTACCAATTAAATTTTAGATGAAACGGTTGAAGGTCCGTCCTAATGGTACTCAGATTCATTCATTTGTTATATCTCTTTAAATTTCAAATTCTAATATTCATCTTTTTCATTCGGGTTTGTATGATTGTTGTAACCAATGGTTAGAAACGTTGAATGTGACGGCTTAGAATCGTTCTCAATCGTGCAGATGAATCCACGCTTTGTTTTCTCTTGGATCCTAAGTTCCTAAATGTATTATGAATTTTTTTATTTCACTAGTTTATATGTTCTCGAGTCATATCTTCGATACCTAATCTTTCCTTTTGGCACATATTGTTACTATCTCTATTATTTTAGCATTTACCCCGACAATTTAATCTCTTTGTGACAATGGGGTGTGACAACGTGAACCGATGAATAAACCTTACAGGTTCCACGTTGCGTATGACTAATTGATTCGTTGTTGATTTCATTTGTTTTTCTCAAATCATACTTCTCATATTGGATTTTCCTTTGGGCCTTCTTCTTTTTCCTATTCTTCTTCTTCTTCTTATTCTTATTATTGTCATCAGATTGCTTTGCTTCTCATCCTTCTAACGTCCTGTCGCTGTGATTTTGTTTAATGTGGCAGCTTAAACTGATTCAGCTTTGTTTCGGAATCAAGTTCGCTTGTGATTTACCGACAAATAAAGTGGTTGATTTAAATGTTTGACTAAAATAGGTGCAAATTAAATATGTGATTGTCATGATTTCTCAGTTATTATCTGAATGGGATCGAATATATTTTTTGGTGTGAATTATATTAAGTTTTTTCTAATGAAGTGTAGTCATGTCAGTACACTAACATATTATCTGCATATATATTTTAATTTTAATTGTAGGCAAATCCGAGATATTCTCTCCCATGTCCATTATTGTTAAATGGTAACAAATGTATCTCTCACAATCCATACGCAGATTTATGTGCCATGCTGGACTCTTGGCAAGTTTACTGTTTCATGAAGAGCGCTTTTCGTTTTTTATTTTACTTGCAAAAATCATGTGTAATAGTAATAATAAGAGCAAAAATAGTGAACAGATGGGTTTTTAATATACTTTTTTTTAACTGAACATTTAAAACTATTTAGCTCATGTTACTAGCTCAAAATTCAGTTCACTTTGTTAGTAAACACTAACATCTCAATCTTATTATTACAAACAAGTAGATGAGCAATAAAGTTTTCAACTATGGCACTGAATGTATACAAGTTCGGATTGTAACAAAAATGGTACTTCGATCTTGAACACATATACTTTAGAGAAGAATAAAATTACTACTATAAAACCTGAATGTACACTTCTCAACTGGTTAGCTTTTAATATTTAAGACTAATCGCCATCCTCTCCACCAGTATTATTTTTTTTAAACACTCAGCTACGATAATTTCTATTATTTGTTTTCTAAAACAATTAAGGGTTAATACAAGTTATGCTGAGGGAGTCATTTTGATTAAGTCGTCACCCGAGGTTAATGCTTATAAATAAACTTATCTCAAATCTGTTTTTTAATTGCGCCCGTAAAGTTGAATTAGGCATTCTGAAAATGATTTTCAGTTTTTGATTCTCAAGAATGTTTCGAACTCTACAAATACGTACATACTTCATATTGTATCACCGTTGATCAGAGCTTCCATAAACCTTCTGTGTTTTCCTTCTCTTCGCATTTGTTAAAGGATTAGAGGATATTTTTGTTATGAGTTCTTTGGATTCAGTGTCCGAGATAAGTAGTAGGAGATGTACGTTGCATCATATATATATATATATATATATATATATATATATATATATAACAAAGCAATTTGTAATGAGATATATGTTTTTATCTTGATAGTTGCTCCTAAATTTTCATATATCCTCATTTTTATTCTTTTAGTGATCTGATTAATTCTTTGACTGGTTTAATGAATCAACTCACTAAAATCCATGAAGATTTCTTACAAGAAAGTGAATTAGATAGTCATGAAATAAATCTGTCGTGTTTAGTCACTCAAATTCAAGCATCAATTCATGAATTATTATGCACTTTGTGCTGCCATTCTTCTGGTTTGTTGTTTTTGGCTTTTCGACCTGAATCAACTAGTCTACTGATTAAGGCTTGTCTACAAACATTTTCCAATATCATGTTAAAGGATACCATGAGTAACAGTAAAACAGTTGCATCAAATTATTTAATATTCGGTTTGGAGTTAATTTATAAAATTGAGGCTTTACGATATTTAGATTTACTGATTGATTGGACAAGAAGGAAAGGTTTGTTTATGTTAAACTTAAATATTTGTATAATTAAATCTATATGGATTTATTTAGTATATATATATATATATATATATATATATATATATATATATATATATATATATATATATATATATATATCTGTAGTACTGCTGTTAATGTTGAGCGTTGTAAAATTTCTAAACTCTCAGGTCACGGGCATGAGTCCTGCCTCATATACAATTCGGCTTGAGGGGTTAAGTAGTGTCATCATTGCAGCAAAATTTTTTCATGATAAATCCGAGTAGAAAGTGTTATATTTAGTTATTGAGTTTCATCATCTTATTGATATGTTCAACATCACAAGTTCAAATCTGTGAGGTAATCACAATATATAGTTTTAGATAATCAATAATACGGCTCGAAAGTCACAATATCACAGATTCAGTTTCTATTTTTCATTAATTCTTCAGGTTATTGTATTTTAGGTGGTTGTCATCTTACGATCTCCTTTAATTCTTTTTAACTACGTATCTAGTATTTTTCTGTCTACTATAGATTAAATGATCATTTTTCATTCTCTATTTCTCATCTCGTTGATTTCCCTTTTTTATTGTTCTGGTTGAGTCGACTTGGATCAGTTCCTGTTTGTACTAAATTTTACAATTCATATGACTGACTGTTTTTGACTAGGATTAAGGATGTGTTGATATTTCTCGTGGCAGACGAGTATTATTGTTTAAAAAGATTATATGCATCACTTTGAAAGAACTGTCACTATTATATCCATTTATAATTTTGTCTACAATCATAATCATATTTTGCATCTGGATTAGTAGAGTTATGACTACAAATCATAAAGCATTTGTGAACTATATTTTGTTATTATACTCATTGAAATTAAGTCTTTGAATTGGAATAGTTTTCCTGCATGCATACGTGTAGACATCGTTGTAACATGGAATTTCGTATATTGTCTATCAGGCCAGGTTATCGCAGTCCTCATCTTTTGAAATCATTTCAGTACTTTTTATTTCTATCATATTAATATAAATTTTATTATCAAATATAATTTTTTCTTGAGGTATGACAGGTGTTTATTCCTTTATTACACAACTTCAATCAGAGACTAATATTACTGCTGATCTCCGAGCCAATGAAATCAATATTCGTGATGCTTTATTCGGATTAACCAGGCTAACATTGAATTCTATTGGACAATTTTCTAATTTTATGGATATAGATTCAATCAATGGTGGTTTCATGGATGATGATCATTTGTTTAATGTAGAAAATATAAAAGAATATGTACTTACAACTCTTACTACTGCAGCGCCTATATGGATTGCTGATGTGGTCGCTATGGATGATTATTTTGCTCCATTATTAATGATAATTGAAGCTTTCTCTGAGCAAGATTTAGATGCAAAAGGTGGAGGAAACAGTACAGTTAATAAATCAATGACAAAAAATGAAAAACCGAAAAGTTCAAGTGATGATATAAAATCTAATAGTAAGTTACTTGACATTCTGTATGAGGATCCTATTGAGTATATTAAATCTTGTTATTTTCCATATAGTTGCATGTGAGTTTTTAAATTCACTGCATACAGTAGTATGCTTTCATTGTGTAACTAATTATTTATCATTCAAATCTAAATTCATTTTGATCTATATACTGTTTACTTATCATAATCTTCATATATCTTTGTTAGCGGGATATAGATTAGATTAAAGCATGTTCCGCGCAATATTGTGTTGATTCAGTCAATCCCATTAATTATTTTAACCAAGGATTGAAGGCTATAATTCACAGTTCGGAATTCGTTGCAGCATCTCAGATCTATTCCACTAAATCTGTAGATTAAAAATTATCTTATACTTTTGTTTCCTTCAAATTTATTTTTTCCTCCCAAATCATATTGTCTATAACTAAGTGATTTTTACTATCACCGATACTCTTACTACTTTACTATTGTCTTGCTAATTTCATCATACTGTACTAATAAAGTGATATGGCAACTTGTGCCAATGTACATATGTGCTTAATTCTAAGTTTCTTTTGATTAACTAGTTAATTGTTGTGTATGCATATAATCATATTTCACTGTTGAATGTTAGAATATTCTTGTTTTCTTTTTAAAGAAAATGCTTTTCTATTAATTCGGATGGCTTAACCATGTCTCCATATAACGGGTTATGATAATGTATTCAGTTAGTGTTTTCATTTTGAATAACAGTTATTAATTAATCTTTATTCAAGGGATTTTATATTTTGATGCTAATTTCTTTAGAAGTAACTATTCCTTTTAATCATAATATAAATTATTATTAAACTTGTTTCACATTAACATGAAAATCGTGCGAAGTGTAATATTTAGAACGAACTTAGTTATATGTTTGTATTCTCATCTTAGTGTTCGTTTTATCTATGACCAATTTTAGCAATGCTTTTTTGCTTTATGGTTTAATATATAAGTCATGTTTAGTCTTGTTTTTTTTCTTCCAAAAATTTTTTATCGTTACATTTTATTCTTTGTTACTAGCTCAATCGAATGCTGAACAGTCACCGACGAACGATCAAGTCGAAGCGACAAATGTATTAAGCTCAAAAGCAACAATTCGTAATCTTCTCTCTGGACCAATACACTTGAATAGTTTAGTGAATACATTGGTTATTACTGTATTACGTCATAGTGAGAATGTGTTCTACTTAGATCGTTATGGACCTCGTTTAGCACAATTGATTACTCGTAAGCTGTTCTAATAAGTCGTTATTTATCATTGTGTTTATTTTCATATCTATACTTACAATATGATTCTTCCATTCTGCAGTTTAACGAGAAAGTTTCCCACGCTAGTACTTCGTATGCATCGAGTTGGGCTTGAACGAAGTTCCTCTAGGTCTCGATTTCTCTTAATGAGAGCACAGGGCTTTTATTTAATCAAAGTAGGGTCGTGAGATATTACGTCGTATTAATGTTCAAGCAGTTTTCATTAGTCGAAGTTAAAACAGTGTGTTTCATCTTCAGAAATTAATGTGATTCCAAATTCTAGTATACATGTACATATTTTCACTTGTTACATTGTTTACAATATCATCAGTATCTTTTAAACTCTTGAACTGCCAATCCGTCGTAACGTCAATTAAGCTGGTAGCCAGGTATCTCATATTGACTTTGTTCATTTAATAATATTTTGAAGTTTTGTTTTATTTTCAAAATATCTATTCATATTCTATTCTTATTTCTTCAGCGGAAATCTGTCGGGATTGTTTAGGGAAGCATGTCTATGTGGAGTTTGTACATTTGTTTCATGTTTCCCATACTAGTTTGCCTATTGATTTTTATTTGTTGAATATTCGACTTTCACTTTCCCCAGCGAATGCTACATATTTTTCCACTGGTTTTTTACTAAGCTTCTCAATCTGTTCGTTCGCTTACTTTATAGTTGTCTAGTTTCAAAGGGTATAATAATAACGTTTACGACTAATAGCTCTAAACCTATCTTACACTATGGCCCTCGACTTTGCACTCTTTATGAAACTAGTTCTAACTGACTGAAAAATAGGGAGTTATCTGTCTGTTATAACGTGTGACCGCCAATTAGGGAGCAGTGACTTATCGATCGGATCAATGACGCGTAAACCCTTATGAGCAGCCTAGAGTCCTGATTAGTCCTGCTTTTCGCCTAGCCCAGCCAGTTAAGTCCAGAACGCCAATCTCAGCCTCTGCAATATGAATCATTATATTTCAAACGTACTGAGTTTATATACCAATCAAACAGACCACAGCGTACCAATAAAATATGAAACAACATTTGTACAAGAGTTAGCCAGATGCGGTCGTGAATGAGGGAGGTAGTAATACTGGGTATAACTCAAGAATGGTAAAACGTATAATAATAGTTTATTGGGTCAAAATAAAGCTTATAATAAGGGGAATATGAATATGCATAGTTTAGTTAATTAATAATTATACAATAGATATATACGTTTAGTATTGGTCTTTAAATGAATTCCAAAAGTTACCATTCATTATTCTTGTCGGGACATAACACTGTCGTTTAGTGTTCAGTATACCTATTGTTCTAGGAGATAATTCATAATTAAATTATTCGCACATTTCTGAATTCTTTAGATGAATACTAGATAATATTTTTCTTCACTAGTAAGTTTCTTATCTAACGGAAATTTTGTTGAGATATTCACTTGATAACTCGAATAATATTGACTTAATTTAAATATATTTTATGAAGTTACATCAGACAACTGAGTTTAGAAATTTCAAGGAGCTAATAATGGATCTACTTGCGTGCTTATTCATATCTTATCTGATTTAATCATTTGTGATTCTTCACAATGGTTCAATGTCTCAGCAATCATGGTCAGTTGTACAATCTGTAGTTATTATAATTAGGATTTCGTAGGGTTTTTTTCTAGTTACTTGTGGGAGGAAATATAATAATGCCAAATTACAACTACGTACTAGAGCTTGTCACTCCAACTCCAAGTAATCTACTAACCTTATTTAAGGAATTCATTTCTAGAAATCACACAGTATAATGATAGTCATAGGCAAATCAAAATACTAATATAAAACACTTTGAATTTTGTTGGTAATATGTATTGCATCAACTGATAATCTTAACTGGAAACACTGGTATATACAATACACTTTAGGGAATGCATGGAACATATGGTTAACTTATTATTTTTCAAGTTTGGTGTAAAATACCATGTGAACTCTTTATTTACTCATATTTTTCATACCTTACTTCATCATCATAATCAGCTAAAAAACTGACACATTTCTGCATCAGTTCAAATTACCATACCTCATTACTATAGAGAGGCACATCCCAGAGTAGTAAAAGTAATGCCAGTATCATCATTAGTAATTAATGTTTTTAAAAAATCTTTTTTTAGCTTCCCAGCAAATCGAAAGTATACAAGATATTCCACCTATTGATGTATTAGCTCAAATGACTTCATTTACACGAACAGTTGGTAGTTACTTACATTGGCTTCGTGATGGACCATCTCGTTCTCATGTAACCGGTATTTTGAATATACCATCAGACTCCCTACTTTCACCTGAATCTTGTTCGTGGTTAATTAAACAGTTACAGACAATGACTAGTGAATTTAATGATGCATTAGATACAATTCTAGGTCTTGAAGTTGCTGATGATCTTCTTGCAGCTCCAAATAATGTTTTCACATCACAAATTAATTATTCTGGGCGTCGACAACTAACTTCTCAACTTTCAGCTGGTCGATTTATACCACCTGGTATTTTGTTAATACTACGTTTATTGCGTACAAGCATACTGGGCTCCAATCACTCTTCAACATTTAATCGTTTATCAGATAGTTCTTATTCAGAGCAACAAATTATTCTATCTCGTACTCAAGTGCTTATTGAAATTTTTAGTATGAATGGGTTGAATACATTTATCACATTAATTCAAGTAAGTTCATGCTTTTCAAGTAATTTCTACTCCCCTACTTTTATTATTATTTTATGTAAAATATAGGTAGCTGACTTAACAAGAACGAGAAGTTTTGAACGTGAACGTTTGCAGATCTAGTGAACATAATTGATGTGATTATTAGATAATAGTAGTTAGCTTGCTGAGATGATAATAATACGATAAAAGAAATAGATGACAATGACATACGGAAGCAAACGTTCCAAAATATTTTGGTAACATTTTCATCTTTAGAAGTTTTTACTATTCAAGTGATTAGTTCAAGTTACAATGTACCGAAAGATATATTGTGGATAAATAAGTATTATTTATTTCTGATATTTTTCAGTCTACCGTATTAATATTTACCGAGTTTTTTGAAATTATGGCTTAATAAATGGTTTTAGTTAGCCTAATATCATAGTACAAACATTCAATCTCAATTCATTTGTATTGGCTATTTGAATCTTCCCACTGACGTTCAGAACTAGAATTATTCAGTCTCTTATTGGCATTTACAGTTAGTCGTAATATCTTCTTTGTGTTTATCAACTGAAGCATTTCTCTTGATTGACTTATTTACTAGGCATGGATTTATGTACTTGATTTTCTAATCACAATTGATTGATCACTGGGTGGTGATCAATGTCATGCTTGTCTAGTCCTTATTAGTGCAGATCGAATGCTATCGATCATGTTGCAATGTGGCCAACAGTCTAGGTGACTCGACACTGCGGGCACTACGTATTGAGATTTAGATGGTGGTTGGAGGTAGTCAACAGGAAACCCTGGATCCGGGTTTCGTGCTACTTGGCACTCATCAGCAAGGTGTACCTGTAATCTTGAGGGAACTGATGCTCCCTGGCGGCTCGGATAGCTCAGTGGTAACGTCTCTGACTGTGAAGCTGGGTGACACGAGCTCGAATCCGCCAGGGAGCATCAGTTCCCTCAAGATTACAGGTACACCTTGCCGACGAGTGCCAAGTAGCACGAAACCCGGATCCAGGGTTTCCTGTTGACTACCTCCAACCACCATCCAAACTTGATTTTCTAGCCACATCCAAAGTACAAGGGCTAATGATACTGCTCGGTTACAAGTTTTAGCTCTAAATAAAAATATAGCAATTGGCTTTACTTATTAATTAGTTCAATACTAATGGGTAGGCTAACCGAAAGCATAGTATATTGATAATGTATCGCGTAGTTTAATTTCTTCAATCGTGTGTTTGTGTGTTAGTCTACAAATTTTTCCAAAATTCATGAACCCAAGTATAGCTTGATCGTATACTCAAAAATTTCAGTATATAAAAAATAATTAATAATATATATTTGGACTGTAAATCTGCCTTCTCGTGGCGGGGGTGTTGTTTATGAAATTGATAGAAGGAAAAGTGAATGTCCGGCGTTTTAACCAGCTTGGCGGACACGGAGGGTCCACCTAGGGGAGTTGTAAAACCCTGACTCCAAACTAATGGTGCACATGGGATCCAGGATCATGAGGAAACAAATGGCGTATGAACTTAATATTGGTCATCGACTACCATGGGATTGCATCTTATGATGTTGTTTCACTAACTTGTGGATCAGACCTTTAGGTCAAAGGCTCCGGCTGTGGTCCCCTGAGAAAACCACCTCCGGTCTGGGCACCCGGTCAGTATCCTAGCTCACACACAAACCAAGTGACTTGTGTGGCTCATATGCATTCGGTGCCCCTTCATACAAATATTTATGTGTTCAAATAAATAAATAAAATAAAATTCTTTATTTTTGCTCAAACTTTGATGAAAAATCATCGTTCGAAGTTGATATTATGACAATAGTTCTTTATATGTATCATTTATAATTATTAATTGTTTGTCTAATTATTAACATTTATACTTTCTGTTACATATATTCCATTGTTAATTATTAATATAATATATTTGTTGTTGTTTTATTTAGAAGTTATCAGATTTCTTCATAATTCAACTTCAAGCTACATTATCTCAAGCAAATAATACAATTGATTTAATCGATATAAGTACTTGTAATTCGAATATCAGTATAATATTTTCCATGTTTGATTCTTTAACACAAATTGTTTCTGCTGTTTTGCGTACTATCATATCAATTCAAGGTGTTGATTTTCAAGATACTAGAATTTTAAATCCATTATTTCATGCATATGCTTGCACAATCTTTACTTATTGTCCACCTGGACCCAAAGCTGTTCAACTTGAAAGGGTAAATATACACAATTTTATTTGCTTTAAAAGTATAGTTCAATGCTTCCAAACTACAAAGGTGTAATCTGTATTTTAGATTTCATGTAAATTATTGATGGGTTCGTGTACTAGTCCATCATTCGCAATCTTCACATGAAAATAGATTGGTACTACCCAACTGCTCAGACGAAATTCAGATGTAGCGTAGTTTGGATGTGCCCTCAAACCCTAGCCATTAAGTTATCGCTTTAGTGATTCATTGGAATTTATCATACACTAATGTTAAATGTAATTTATCATCACAACTGTATGCGAGTAAATAAAACATAATAAAAGTGGAGTTTTACAACAAAACGGGGTTATAAAATCAGATACACTAATGGGTTCTTATAACTCATATACAATTCTACTGGAAGAAAGTAACTAAAGGATTATCAAAATTTCGATACAAGATTTATTTATTACTCATATTTTTAACATGGAATAATGTAGTATTGTCATCATTGCCTTACTAGTATGTTAATCAATAAACATTCAATGTAAAAATTTTTATACTAAAGAGGAAATTTATCTAATCCGAAATCCGGTAGTGAAAGTAACCCAATTGTTTCCGGTGGATATGGCTTCTAGAGTTCTAACAAATAATTTATATTATTTCATTACTTACCATGATAATATAAATTCAAGTCATATTTATTTCTAAATGAGGTAGTCGTTTCTTAACAAATCTACATTAATGCAACATGAATTATGGATATTAATAATATCTTATTCGTTTACCCAATCAACATACATTTCATTCTCTTTATGTATTTAGATTCGTGATAGTATAATAATTGGTCTGTTGGCTTATACACATTCCGAGTTAAACAGAGTACTAAATGTTCAAGGTATAGTTTGATGATAACTACTATTATCATTTCCATCGTTACTCCATGCTTATTTGACTGTATTATATGAAATTACTGTATGAATATGGTTTTAAATATACAAAGCATATGGTTAACTTATATGATTAATTTTAAATTTTAAACCTCTGACGAGTTTGATAAGTTGCTTTGTTAGCCTACTCGCATTTTATAGAATGCCTTGATTATTGATAACTTCATAGTAGATTTCTCCATAGTAGTAGTGTTTGTAATTGAAGTGTGGGTATCTGTCATTGTTGAAAATTTAATTAGGTAACTGTTTGACTAAACTTTGATAAATAGATGATAATTTTTAGTGATGCTCAAATCTAAAAAAAAAAAAACAACTTATTTTGAATGGATCCACCAGCTGTTTTTGCAACCTTAAGTGGTGTCCGTTAAGGCTGTCCACTTTCTTCATTTTTGTTCAACTTCATCATAGACCTACTGATGGAAATAACATTCTCGTATTGAGCTCCTTCCAGAAAGTCCACTTATCGACTTAGAATGCGCAGATGACATAGTCCTGTTTGGTGAAGACGCTGATAAAATGCAGAGTCTTCTGGTAGTACTAAGCAACAATGCCAGAGTATTTGGGATGCGCTACTCTCCCTCTAAATGCAAGTTGTTGCTTCAGAACTGGTCTGTGTCAACACCTGAACTAAGGATAGCGAGTGAAGTAGTCGAACGCGTTGACAACTTCACTTATCTTGGAAGTCCGATCAGCCCTAATGGGTTGGTGTCTGACGAAATCTCTACACGGATTCGAAAAGCTCGCTTGGCTTTTGCCAACTTACGTCACCTATGGCGCAGGCGAGATATCCGTCTATCAACAAAAGGACGAGTATACTGTGCGGCAGTTCGTTCTGTTTTACTTTATGACCGCGAAACATAGCCATTGGGAGTAGAAGATACTCGTAAGCTACTAGTATTTGACCACAGATGTCTTAAAAATATTGCTCGCATCTTCTGGGATCACCGGGTAAGTAATAGTGAGGTTAGACCCAGGGTATTAGGGAATGATGGTAAGTCAGTTGATGAGGTTGTGGATCTTCATCGACTGAGATGGTTTGCCTGAACACCGATTACCACGACGTGCAATGCTAACCGGTGTTGGAGATGGTTGGGAGGAAGTTAGGGTCGGTCGAACCAAAACGTGGCATCAGTGCTTGAAGACACTAACTTCTAGTCTGAGCCATGTTGGTAGGTGTAGACTACTTGGTTGGGGTCCGCGTGACTATCCTAAGCCATGGTTGGAGACTCTGTTGGACAAGGATCAGAATCGATCACAATGGCGTCGGTGTATACACTGTCTTGCCTTAAACTAAGAGATTAAAATCACTTCATATCTTTCTTTCTACGAACTAATTCTTTCTTCGTGTACAATGTTCTTATATGCAATCTTTCTTTTATGTATTACCACAACTGAATTGACTACTTTTATAAATGCAGTGTTCATCTTGTTGTGTTACTGAGGTATAGCATCTTGGACCGATGCATATATGTGCCTGGTCCTATGTTGTAACTGACTGGTTGACCCACCAGCCTATCGATCGATTCAAATCAGTAATAATTCAGAAGAAATCTAAAGTATATTTTTACTATTTATGTTGATTCAACTAATGAAATTTATTTAGCTACCGTAAACATCAAATATTTTTCATCAGAGCTACCCACTGTCTCCTTCTTTCAAATTTTGTCATAGACATCCTCCTGCAAATAGCATTTGCTTCATCTAAATTTTCAGGGATGAATCTCCTACCACGAGGTTTGCAGATGATCTAATCCTATTTGATAATGATACTGACAAAATACAGAATCCTTTACTCTGAGAAATAGTGTTGACATCTTTGAAATGCACTTTTTTTCGTGTAAATGCGAAGTGCTACTTCAGGATTAGCATCAACACCTGAGATAATTTTATGGAGTAGATTAGTTCAGTGTCTTGGCTACTTCAGTTATTTTGGAAGTCTCATCAGCCTTGACGGAACCTCCGCCAGGGTTCAAAAGCTTAGTTAGCCTTCATTATTTTGTCATTTGTAGAATAGGTATACTGTGCAACAGTTTTCTCTGTATTATTTCGTGGCTGTTAAACATGGTGTATGAAGCAAAAGACGTAGGGAAGCTAGAGATTTTTGATCACAGGTGTCATCTAAGCATTGGTCGCGTTTCGTGGAGTGTCTCAGTGAACAATCTTGATGTTAGACATTGGGTAATAAGCAAAAGTGACCAAGTGGTTGATGAAGTTATCAATTTTCGTCGATTGAAATTATTAAAACCGGTGTTACGTTTAAATAATCATTGCATATCTGGCTATACGATATTTACTGACGTGGAAGTAAGTTGAAAAGAAGCTAGGGGTGCACAAACCAATACGTGGTATCAGTCCATGAAGTCACTGACCGTTGTTCTGAGCTATGTTGATAGATATAGATTGCCTGGTTGGGGTTAAGCGCGATAAGTGTGACCGGTGGTTGCAGACGTCTGGGATCACAGTTAAGAATCAGTTACAATGACGCAGATGGTGCTTGAAACGAACGGTACTGGGTTCGAGGCACATATTGAACATCTCTGAGATGCAGATACATCCAGCTGACAAGTCCCAAATAAAAACGCGTGTCCTGGATTCCACTGCTTTGCTTATAATGCTTATGAATTAAGGCAATACACACAGTATGCAAATATACCAGCAAGAGGCTGATCAATTACAGTCCTAAACATCAATGGGAAGATTCAATTAAACACTACCATGTGAATTTAAAAAAGTTTATTTTGTGGATTTTTTTTAACACCATAAGAACTTCATTGTTTAACATAATTACCCTTAATTGTCCTCGTTATTTCTTTCTTTTAGAGATTAATAAATCATTTTGGGTTTTAATGCTGAAAGAATTAGTTCATTTTACTATATCATCACCTTGCTTCTTTTTACCGGGCATACTGATATTCTTAGATTTATTACCTTTACCATCGCCAGTAGTTACCGTCCAAGGATCTTTCGATTCGAATGATGAATCTAAGGTGAGCATCAAAGTAATTACTCTTTTTTAGCTCAATAAAAAGTGGCTAGTTATAATAGACAAAAAACTGCATCATTATATGGTTGATTGTGATCGGTTTGTTTATGTAACACTGTGTCGCCAAGTAACAACTACTTACAAAGCTAGATAATTAGTACTGAAATTTTCTAGTAAATTGACCAGTCAGTGAGCCATAAAGTAGAACCTGTACATATGTACATCGGTTCAAGTTGCCATACCCCATTAGCACAGAGAGATGAAGTTGTCAGACCAAATCCCAGAATAGTAGAGATAGTAACAGTATAAGTGGTAACTGAAAAGATTAGGCATCGAATATACGACTCGAAAAAAAATAAATTAGTGAAACAAAAATACAACAAAAGTTATTAGGAATTTGATAGAAGACAATTAATGGATGCATCTAAGCCGCTACAAACAATTTTGAACCACATCATTCACAGTCTCTAACCGTTAGTCACAATAATCATGCGAACCCCAACCAGGTAATCTATACCTATTAATATAGGTGAGGCCAATTTTCAGTAACTTCATGGACTGATGCCATGTTTTGGTTTGGTCCCCCCCCTATGCTTCTTCCAGCCCACTCTTGCACCAGAAAACATCACCCGTCAAGGTAGGCGTTTGTTGGGCATACGTAACACATGTCCCAACCACCTCATTTGATAAAGATTTACTGCTTCATTAATCGATTCCCCATCTTTACCGAGTACTCAGTAAATGGATATATTAGTATGACACTTTTGTGTGACCGTGCCAATGTAGAGTAAATAAGTGGATAAGTAGTAAAAGAAATCTATTATCTCATTCTAGAGGAATTACAAAAAATTCGTCAATGAGAATTTTCTCAATAATCTCATTCAGTCAAGTTGTGTAATTGTATTTATGGTTATTTAATAAATAAAAATGTTCTATTAAAGAACAAAAAATGTATTGCGTAATAAAGTGTCCGGAAATTTCAGTTGACAACAGGAATTGAATAATGATCAAGAAATTAAACACAATTAAATCACAATCTTTAAGTCATTCTATGGCATAGGATAGCGCGACAATTTCTTATTCTTTCTATGTTATGTAAAATTGTTTCTCTCCCCTTTATTACCGTTTTACTTGAACATTCATTTAATTGACCTTTATTAATTTTCATATAAAATGCCGGAACAAGTATATGTGTGACCAGATTGTTCGAAATATACAGCGCAAATACATCACATTTTTCAAATCAACTCCGTCTTCTCATTGTTCTATCGAAATTAATAATAATAATTTTAGAAATATCCTAATTAGAATCACTACAGTTTTAATAACCCATTAATTCATTACATTTTCAAGATGTAATGCGAAATTACTTTCTAAATGTTTGTCATAAAGGTCTTTATTTTTTTTATATTTAAAAGTTGTTTAACATTTTATAGACGATTCACTGTTATCTGGTTTGTAAATAAATCAAAATTTTTCACCCTTTTCATTAACTTCGTTTTAAAGTGTACTTTTTCGCTAAACAAAAATACTAAATTCTTATTGAATCGTCTGTTTCAACTGGATGAACATGTCTACAGTAATATTAAGGTGGAAAATGTGAATAGACTGTTTGACTTAAGGTTAGTCTTAATTACGAACTGACATCAGCTAAAGATTCATGGAAGTGGAAGAGGCGTGCAATAGATTTATCACCAGATCCTTTCCTGGTTTGTAGCGTAATAGTCGATCAAGTTTGTAATGAGGTAATAACTCATTGGTAGAAGTGAATGCGTATCAGGCTTTATCACATATGGACTGAGGTATAAAATGTAGAACATTAACTCATAACTCACTTATTCAATGTTATATTGCTCACCATGAATCTTGGACTCAATCCTATGTATAGTTCTTCCCGATGAAAAGTTATTTAATAACAAAATGGGTGTTTAGTGCTATTTGGTTTCCAATGATTTCCTAGTTTTGTCCAAACTTGGACGTGGCAATAGTCGTCAGCTGTTGGTCTGATCGATGTTGTTAAATATAGACCGTCTGATTGGGGTCCACGTGACACTCGCGATCTGTGTTTGCAGACGTTAGATGATATCTCTCGGATGCGATGACGGTTGTGTAAATGCATCCGTTCGTTTTCTTGCTTTTCGATCTCGGGTTAGTTTTTTTCATTCTCATCGCCAGTACATTGTGTTTAGCTCGTTTGCCAATCATTTTGTCAGTTTCATCGCGTCTTGTTAATTTGGTATAGCAACCTGGGTTAATACATATTTGTAACAAGCTCTAATTTCAGTTTTATTGATTAACTAATCAGTTTTTGTAGATTTATGATGACAACTAACTTAAAGCATATGTGCTACTAAGCAGCACTTATGTCATAACTCCTAATACCTGCATATGGGAATCAATATCCGAATTCATTGGTCATATTATGGTTTTCTTGTTTATTTTTTTTAGTAGATTCTTGTGGGTTATTATACAAATTCACTTTTTTTTAATGACTTATTGTGAATAGTAACTAAAGTAGTTTTAAATTTGCATTAAAGAGTTGTTGCTTCTTCTTCTGTCTCTTTCCCCCCTCTTTATTTTCTCTTCTCTTGATCTTTATTCGTTTAGATAAATAGTTCTCGAGATATATGGGCTGCGCATCTTCTGGCTTTATCTTCCGAGTTAATTGGAATGATACAGTTATTAAGTGCAACTATTTCATCACCTAACAATCTTCTATTCTGTAATCTATTCAAATTTGTTGAACGTTTAGCTGATATTTGTCGTTTACCGTTCGCCAGTTTATTGGCTAATGCATGTTTAGATAGTATTGGTGATGTAAGTATTTTCTTGGTGTTATTATTATTTTTATTTCTTAAATTTTTGTTTAATCTATTTCTAATGTTGAGTTTTTTTTATATTCTCATATGTGGTTTTCTAATCATTTCATTAGGTTATAGATTATGTTATACTGTTGTATAAGATTAAGCGTTTGTCCAATATCTTGCTGGTAAAAGTTTTGTATAGAAATAAACAAATGGGAATTTAAAAAGTGACTTAATTTTTCGGGCGAAATTCAAAAATGTTCGACTTCTGCCTTTATATTACTTAAAAGCGAATATTAGAACTAACTTAATGTAGTTCTAAGAACGGCTAAAAATTCTATAACTATATAATAATATCTTATCACACTTTTTCTGGGTTAAATTTCTTTTTTAATATTATGATATCCAGAGAATAGAGTGATGGATTGTGATGTTTGCTGAAGTTGTGTATTTTCAAGTACTGAGTTAGCGTTTTCCATTTCACTCTCTCTGTCTACTTTGATTTGGAATGCAGTTGAATTTACACCACATCTCCAGTTATCACCTTGAGATTCTACAGACTAGATTACAGCTATCAAAATGTAAATACATATAGATTTTGTTCTCAACGAGTGTATTGATCAACTCCAATATCAGTTAGTGTTGGTTATATAACCAACTACACTATCTACTCGTTGGTTTATTCTTGTTTCAGAAAGAAACTAACAAGTGATTAGATTGTTCAGGATAACATTGGTCAATTGGTTGATGGGAATCATTTCATGATCCAAGTATCATACACAAGGATCATTTTGATGGCATTTCACTCTCTGAGCTGGATGTTTTAATTTTGACTACCCTGCCAATGGCTATTGAGATATTAAGGAGCACGAATAAACCTTACAGCTCAGAAAACGGAAATTCACCAAAATCATCCACCCGTGATACAAATCGGTTTGCCAACTAAAGATTACCCTAAATAATCTGTTGAATCCATCTGATGGTCACAGTATGTGTTATTTTAATTATTTCACTTTTTTCCTAAGACTGACTCACTTTTGTCCATTATCATTTACTTTTTCTGAAAAAGAATTACATTCATTCACCTCGCAATATTTATCTATCTATTTATCTTTAAGATTAGAAATCAAATATTAAATGAAACTGAAAAACAAGAAAAACAATCAACGGAAAGTACATTAAATGATGGAGATAATATCGAGAATTTGTGGTATGATTTTTTGTTTTCCCTTGGGTTTTAGTCGACACTTAAGAATGTTAATTATAACTTAGCATTTTCATGACATGAACTACTCTTAGCTTATATATATACATTCTGTAATGCATCATGTCGTTATTCTCTTACTTAGTCTCTCGAATTTTTTCCTAGACTTCGGGTTGATAACTAATTGGGTTAGATTCACTCTTTTTTTAAACTGCGATCAGAGTAGTAAAATAATGATTTAGAACTACCGGTTGATCTTCAAGCTCAATTAGAAGATATCTCAAGGTCAAGCAAAATTCACGAGGTCTTTTATGATGCGACAGTTTGTTACTGGCCTGTGTTGTCAAAGTTTAGCTTAATTCCGTTAGTTATTTTCGGGTTATTTTCTTTATTTCATATCAATCTTCTCTTTTGTTGTGCTGATGTGAAGCATGTGAAAACTTTTAATCGTTCCTTACTTTTCAATTCTAGATGATATCTAACCTCTCACGGTTATGTATTAATCTAAGTTGCTACGCTTTATACCATTATAACAAGAGATGCAATCAGCTATTCAAGGAGCTTAAGAGAGTGAATTAATCATATAAATTACAATGGAAAGCTAAAAATTAGAAACGTAGCTTAGAAGGAATGAAACAAAAGTAATAATATGCAATGTGAAATGGAATTGAACAAATTATATCATGAAAGAGTTACTATGAATGCAACTGTACCACCACTATGGTGAATTTTGAATTGTGCCACTTAATGTCTTCAATATTTGATGTGTCAACTTGGAATTTTGCACCAATGAACACAATTTAAATTAAAAGTTGATTGATTCATAGGTTACCACTATATCCTTGTTTCATTGTCTTTATCTTTAAGCCTACATTTAAGCCATTTGTGCGAGGTCCTATGTTTCTGTTTCCCTGATATTCGTCATTATTTTACTATATTAACTAATTAAACTGTTTGTTTTCGGTATTCAGTTCAAAAACAGTTGAGAGTTTATCTTCATCATCTTCAGTGAATAAAAATAATGATTCAGCTGGCGAATTAAACGCTCCTAGTACAAAATTATTATTAAATCCACAACCTATACTTGATCCACGATTAACATCACAACAGGATTTAGGAATTAGTTCTTGGCAAGCTAATTCTATGACCGATTCATCTGTTACAATAAACTCGCAATTCATTAATAATGCAAAGAACATGACTACTACTAATAATAATAATTGTAGCAGTAATAATGCAAATTTAGTAAAATTTTCAATAAAACAAATCGAATCTACTGAATTGAATGCTGCATTATCTATGCTATTCATTCTGCTTAAAATACCATTTTATCGATATGCCGTATTAGATGCATTACGTCATCAATCGTAAGTTGTTTATATTGTTTTGGTATTTCTCATCACTGGGCTTTAATTATTGTGTTATTTTTATTGTCATCATTAGTACTAATGTTTGTTGTTAAAAAACTGTGGTTATCCTGCAGTTTTTATTCGTAATATTTTACTAGCAAAGTAATTCAGTAGTATATAATACATTTACAAATTTAAAATGAGTAGTTCTTTACAACCCTTTTCTCCTCATTGAACTGATACTCTAAGTAGTTAAATATATTTCAATAAATTACTCTTCGTTACTGCATGATCTGATGACATTTTCTGACAATACTGTACCTAAATTTGGGAATGGCCTACATTTTAAAGTAAAATAGTACAAAATAATCAACTTATATTTTATACATTGTTTTCAAGCAATATGAAATCAATATACGTATAGTCATTTATAAGCCCATTCAACTTTTTGTTGTTGCTTTAATTTGGGTGTCTAGCAGTATCCCATCCCTCACACAGATCATTTGATTTATGTAGTGCATATGTATTTACGGTAATTTGCAAAATATCCAGTCAAACAGTAAATCTAAATAATTTTGTAATTCTTCATCAAAAAAGGATTACCATTTTTAATTTTCTTTAACCAAAACACTTTTACTTTCGATGGTTGAGCGAGGAAATGTTCTTCGATTTAACCGGGTTGGTGGACTCGGAGGACGCACCTAGCCGAGTTGGAAAACCCTGATTCTAAACCAATTGTGCACATGGCCTCCATGATCTTGAGGGGACAAATTGTGTATGAACCAATTGTTGGTCACCGGCTACCATGAGACTCCATCTCCTGATATTGCTCCACTGCCTTGTGGATGAGACCTTTAGATCAAAGGCTCCGGGTGTGCCCCCCTAGGAAAACCACTTGCTTCGGTTTGGGCAGCCGGATAGTAGTACCCCGGCCCCCACACAAATCAAATGATTTATATAGTGCATATGTATTTGGTGCTTCCTTGTACCAGTGTTTATGTGCTTAAATAAATAAATAAAATAATGAAATTAGAACGTATGACCGCATCAGACTTGTTTATCGTTTTCAATATTGGAATTAGGACTTGAGGTGAATTTTTGGTAAGGTTTTTATTTATGTTTCGCTCTGAGAACATTTTTGCTACACAATTACAATACCCACCACTTCATTTTAGATTTTCCTTTTTTATTGCCTAGTGGGATCTACTGTTATGTTATTTTGTTAAAAAATATCGTTTGGTGAAATTATATTTAGCAATAATTCTCACAGTATTGTTAGACATTCCCGTTGTTTTTAGGGTTACTGTAAGTTTGTTATATTTTTTCCAACTTCATTAGGGTTAATCATCAATCTGAGAATTCCGAGAATGCTGCCTCCAGTCCAGAACCTTCATCATCTGTAAATCTTCGTCGGCAGAATTTTCTAAATGTTGTCGACTCAGTTTTATCGGACTATTCTGATAAGACTTCATGCATCTCTGTTCAAATTAAACTTCTTGTACGTTTAATTCATTAAATATTTTGATTAATTTGATCATGTACTTGTTCAATCCTGGAACTATTAGTTAAGTGATGATGAATTACATCTCAACTAGTTGATTTTCACTTTCTTATGCGAGCATTTAATTGGACAATTATTATACACTTTTCAAAATAGTGATTGTCACCTGTGATATAAACAAATGACTATATATCGTCTGAAGTTATTCATTGTGATGTTTTGTGAAACTCGGAATATTGCATGATGTCATAGCAAATATAATGCTCATGTAATCAATCTAAACGAATGACCTTTCCAAGTTTCTAAATTGGCATAAAAAAAACCCACTTTTTTAAAATATCCATTGTATTCTAGTTGATCAGTTAGGAATCTCACGCTTATACTGCATTTTAGACGACCATTTTTGATGTAGAAAATTAACATTTGTCAGTTATTCATGAGGGTGGGTGTGGTACTAATGTACATATCAGTTCCTCTCATGTTTTGGATTGCAATTGGGTAATGTAATTTTGAATCGCAAGCGTTTGAGAGATTCTTGTGATACGGAACGTGATCTATGCGTACTGGACAATACGAACGACTAATACACAACACTTTAACAATAATCCCTCTCACTATGGATAAGGGTGATAGAGAGTGTATTTGTCAGGAACCGATATGTAGAATTAAATTACATTTAAGTCAATTTAGTTATTTATGGCTTATTGATTGACTATTAATTACAAAAATTATCCGACTGTGCAATCGTCACTTAAACTTTAGGCCACAGTGCATTAATTAACGCAATCAAGATGGATCGGAAATAATATAAAATAACTCTACACTAAATAAGTCGTGTCAAATAAAAACACACTGCAAGTCATTGAATAAACTTCAACTGAAATCACTGTGTGGGTTTTAAAACTAATTGTTACTTAAATTTAGTACTTGGTTACTCAGTGAAGAGTTCAGCTATGAAGATTGCATTATCTTTCTAGATAGAGCATCATCAGCATACACTTTATTGTAATGTAACAATTTTATTCTCACATTACTTCCATTATTTAGTTTATATTTTAAACATTAGTATAATGTTTGCTTTTACCTCCGTTGTATAATATTGGCCCAATAATTTATTTCCTATAAGGTTTGTTATTTTTTTGTACATCAATAGTTTACATAGTAAGTTTAATCAGTAATTCTAAATTTAACGCTGAATAATTGGTCACTGTTTATACAGAAGTTGTATACTTGTTCTTAGTCTCGAACTCAGTGTTGATATCCCCTGTATTATATTCTTAACGGTATACTTCAAGAGATCATGTTGGTTGGTTTTTTAAAAAATCTATTTACGTAACATCTGTTCCTCTATGCTTATCAGTAAGTAACTCGTTTACGTTGCTTGTAGATCATTCTAACCGGGAAATAACGATACACTGCTTTTAAATGTCTAAGGTTGAATTTCATCGATTGAATTTTAGGTATCACTCAACTGATAAACTCTTATACGCCTGTTGATGTTATCCATTTATCGTTGATTCATATGCGAAATTCACTTTAACTTGTGATTGATTGTAAAATTTTTCTTATAAAAATCTCTTCAACGAATATTTCCTGATATCATTAATTTTTATTAATTATTTTAGCAATGCCTTAGTCTTCTTGTTGATGTGAAATTATCAACAACTAATACAAAGTACACTAATAACAGTGATGTCAAATGTTCAGATGAAGATTCTACTAGTGATGAAGATGAAGCACAATTTCTGGCAGATAATTTACCAGATTTAAATTTACTCAAAGAATTAGTCCTTATACTTATCAAACATATTAATCATCCTGATAGAGATATGACTACTTTACCATCTGCACTAGATCCCTTGATCATAATCACTGAACATGATCCAGGTTTTGTTATAGTTAAAGAGTAAGATAATTTTAATTTAAAAGAAAAATGAATTCTCTCATTATATTTTTATAAATGATAATTATTTTTCACTTTTTTGTTTAGTATTAAATATTAAGCTGCATTATTCACCACCGGTGTTGAGTATTTTCAAAAACAAACATTCTTCATATCTATTTCATTCCCTACTTTTATCAGGTCTAATATTTTGTGAGCTAAAAATGTAAACTATACGTACAGTTTGCTTTTTTTGTGAGATCATTTTCTCAAGAAATAGCTTCCATATTATTTATTGGTTGTTTATTATATTTTACCAATTCATCTGACTCCATTAATGAAATAGGGATTCTGATTAACTTCATGTATATACTAACCGTTATATAACGAATACGATAACAGGAATGACATAAAACATAAGTAGTGTTGAGGATTCATGTATTTCAAACATTTTTATGAGGAAACGAACCATGCAATCTAAATGGATAGAAAGAATAGATGTGACCCAGTTTATGTGGTCGAATAAGCAATAGTTAAACCAATCTAATTCTCAGGTAAACATAGATATCTGGTAAACATTTATGAAATAATACAAGAGTAAATGCTGATAATTAACTGTACAGAAAATAATTTGAATGTTTAATACTATTTAATAAGGATATAGACAAAATGTACAAGTCAATGAATGAAATTCGGATAATTTATCTGGTTTTTCTCGTTTAAAATATGTTCAAGAAGAATAACTTTGTTTAGGAGTATAGTATAAGTACCACTACAGTATAAAGCAATCAGTTTTTGTATGCACTTAGCAATCGCAAAACTCTGAATTATGAACATTGATTTGTTAATATATCTAGGTTTTGCTTAAAACAATCAATGGAATATAATTATTTTGTCTGTATATACAGATTATTGTATAGCTGATTTCATAACTCTCTATTTCCTAGCATTATGTATCATTCAGTATATACTTAAGAAGTCCATGTTTCGTATGCTATGTAACTTATCCTAGTATTTCACAGTTTATATCATCCAAGTATATAATGAAATTTCGCAACCGATTCAGCTTTTTAACATAGGAATAATGATGCATATTAATCGGTTGGCTAAAGTAAGTTGGATTGGGTGGTATCAGCTCAAACCATTAAACTCCAATTTGGAATTTTACTCTACCAATTATCAATATGCGCCCCTCTCTCACAGACAAAAGTGCAACTCAAAACGGATAACATGATGGTCACCCGCTTATTGAATCGCATATCTAAACAGTTAAACAAGGAATTCGCATTTTATCCAATCGTTGGTTGATGCAGAAATTATTTGTTTACGTCAGTCTAATTCTATTTACATTATAATATGTTTTTTATTTATTATATAACAATTCATTTTTATAGATCACTGGATAGCTCTACTGCATTTAATAATGGTCAGCATTTATTTGCTAATTTGGTTCAACGTGTTAACGATAGTTTTAGTGCAGATAATCCAGATTGTCAGGCTACATTGACTGGTTGTTTACGATTGATTCAATCATTATTAACAGATCACAGTACACTACCGCTAACTTTTATGTCCAAATGCATCAATTGGAATGAATGTGAAGAATTCGATAGTGCATCACTAGGTGTTCAAATAGATGATAAACATGTAAATAAAACAAGTAATTTATTCACCAGACAACTTCATATTTCCGGTGAACGTGTTCGTGAGTTATTGGGTTGGTCAGGAAGTGGAGATCAGGGCAAGCCTGTTCGAGATCTTCATGCATTATTAGAGGTTAGTATCATACCTGCCTATTATGAGGCTTTCAACCTTTGCTCTAAATTTTTATTACGTTTCTACACAACTCATCAGTACATCAACAAATCACTTCATCTCTCATTGACTTCAATACTTCTCTTTTATTTGTTTATTGCACTATCAGCCTCTTCTACCTACACGATTTTTCATGTGTCTTTTGAATTACTCACCATGTAGTGAGTTTAGTTTTTTTAGTACTTTCGGTACCATTTTTCACGTTCTCAACATTTCTCTTGATGAGTTCTCGTTTTTGTAGTGATTCAAAATGTAGATGACTAGACCTCTACACATCTGCATAACGTTTTAGCTAATTATTGTATTTCTATGTACATTTATTGCTTCGACTTATTTTGAATAGGGTGTTCATTTGACTCACTAGCACATATTCCTGACGTTGTATTTAAAGAATGGTGCTTTTTTAAACGTCAGATCGTAATTGTTTAGGTATTTTCATGTATTGGTTTTACCTTTTATAATACAATAATTCGATAAATCGAGATTGATGAAGTCCTCACAACTATTTTATTTTAATTCATGACTTCAGCATTGCTCATTCACAACCTGTTCATGATCCTAGCATTCTGGAATTTTGAGACTCACTAGTGGACTGTCTTTGAGAACGACTCCTGACGTCCTAGTGGGGAATCGTGACCAGTTAAGTCCTACCACGTCGGAATAGAAACATATATTATTAATGGTGCTGACCGATTGTCGCATAATAACAGGGATTGAATAAAATGTTACACTGATAAAGGTGACTAAAACTATTCAACTGGATTCTAGCAAAATTTGTATGTAATTATTTATTACAGATAACATACATTTCAACTAAACTGACTGAGCAATCGATTTTAACATTTCTAGTAGTAGGGCACTAACGTTAATCCTGAGTTTTCTACCATAGTTTGAAACGGTTAGGTTGTAGTAGTAAAAATATAATTAAAACTCATGCAAATAAATCATAGTCCAATATTTGAAACCGTTTACAATGATGATGGATGATATAATTATTACGGGCCAGCAATTGGTCAACGTTGAATGACAGCCAGATTATCTTATTTTGTAAAGTTCATCCTACTTTTGCTACCACTTGCTAACTTTTTTTATTGTGTGTGTGTTAATAAACTTTTGTTCTCGTCTATATTTGGCTCTCTATCGAACGATCGGATTTGAATGACTGTGTATGATAGACCAAGTATCATTTATATCTGTTTCGTTTTTTCTTCTCAGATGTTAGCTGACGATGAACCATCACTGGAATATTTAAGAAGTGGCATGAAAAATCTTTTATCCTTATTATCTCATGAATATGATATACCTGAATTAAAAGAGCTAACCACTTCTACTGCAAGGTTTGTAGCGACAACTAGAATAAATGAAGATTCCTTGTCAGATGAACTAAATATGTACAAATTAAGATCAAAACTACCAAATGCTCGATCATTGAGTGTAATAATACGAGATCATCAGAAAAAATTTGTCAAACTAAATTTAGATGGTAAAAATTTGAAAAAGACACAGAATCAATCAATTAAATGTTTGTTTGAAAATTTTTCAGCTGCATATGATAAGATTTCGGAAGATATTGATATGGAATTACCTTTAAGTGGGTCGAAATATATTGGTCATCAGGTAAATGATAGTTTTTTTTTCTTATTATTATGGTATGTTGTCTTGATAGCTATTAGGCACTCTCGATGTTTTAATGAAATAGTAACTATTATGTATCATGTTACTTACAATTTGTTTATCTAATTTTCAGTTATTTGTACATATTCAATGTTGGTAGATTGTTTATATACTCTACGGATAAAATTCTGTTAAAGTAATAGATTCGTTTAATGTTTTCGTTAAAAGCATGACATAGCTTGGAATTAATTTTTATCGTAAACCGAAATTATCTTGGAAACTATTGGGTGAGAAGCGCGAGACATTGTACGATTGTTTCTTCTTAATTTGATTCACTCAAGGTTGAACGCAAGACCTCCATCTGTTATAAGATAGATTTTCAAATTGATTTTACATTCACGGCTCTAAAAACTTCCGTTTATGAAGTTTTCTTTTCATGAACGTTTATATTCATAAATCTAGACCATTGAACCTACCAATAATTAATCCACACAGTGAAATGCGACAGCGTTATGTAAACTAATATTTGTCTTTTTAACTAGGGTCGTGACAAAGAAAGCAACCTCACAAACTGTTATTTTACTCATAAATCTTATTTAATGACGCGTATCGAAAACGCTTCTGGAATGTAAAGGTGATATTTACATGAATCTTTCACTAAATTAGGTTGAGTCGAATACTGCATGATCATGGCCAAATATATGATAGAGAATATGTGATTGCGTATTTCTCTGGTTAACTGAAAAATCTTCATGAATGTCACTCCGCCTAATTTGCCTCTTAAAAATCTCGGGTTCTGTATCTCGTTTTATGAACAATCGTTAGTATTGTAAACATGTCCATTCAAAGAAAATCTACATGGAACGGACAAATGATGAATGTTCATAGCTCTGTCCCTGTGAACTGTAAAATAACTTGGATCCATCCTCCTTCATATAATGCATTGTAAAAACGCCATCATAAAAGACAACTCAGAGGTATGAAATCTTTCATTCCATAATATATGGTTGATTACGTTCATGAAATATCGGACTCAACATTTAAGATCATTTATAAAATTAAACTTAACTTCCTGAAAGGCGTACTCACTCATCTTTGTATTAGCGATAAGCGCCATTAAGCCAGATCTATGAGTAAAAGGTAGTTCGTCTGACGGTTTTCCATTCCATAACCATAGCCTTTTGTTGTAACGTGTGGATTGCAGTTTAGATGGATCAGCGTACTTATCGATCGATTCAGTGACACGTAAACACGTAAGGACGACCTAGCGTCCCGATTGGCCCTGCTTCGCTGTCTAGCCCAGCCAGTTGAGTCCAGAACACAAGTCACAGCCTCTGAGATATGAATCACTATATTTCAGACATACTCTATTTATATACCGACCAGACCACGTCGTACCATAAAATAGAAAACAACATTTGTACAATATTTGACAGGTGAAATGAATATCGACCAATTGAAATGTCTATTTAACGTCCAAGGACACCATTAGACTTAACACGATAATTATTGGTATATTCCTCTGCATCTCTAACACCTTTATTTTAGATTTCTGTGTATTCCATTACTTTCTGCTTCTATCATATCCTGTTTAGCTATCTGTTGTTACCTTCTTTTTTCCCTTTACAATATAAAAGGGACTTATTTGATGTACTTCTGAATTTAGTTGAAAATTTTCACATATCTGAAAATCAATAATACCGTTAATTTCTCGTCTTTATCCACTTTATTGCATAGATTCCAGTATCTATTTCTTATCAAAATGATTTAGTACATTGTGATCTAAATGATATTGCAACAAATGGTTGTAATAAAATGCGAATTCGTGATGAATTAGCCAAATATGGACATTTAAATGATGCAAGTGAAGTAGCCATTAGACATCAGAAACGTAGACGTGGTCAGTCTTCAATTATACAAACTGGGACAACTTTTAAAAAATTCGGTAAGTGGTATTTTTAAAATCTGAAAACATGTTTCAGCTTAAGCTGTTGTATAAAATGAATTATAGTATATTACAATCTTGAAAATAATATTCTCATTTCTACTTATTTGCAATTTGCTTTTCTATTATAGTCTTATAATGTATTTGCATTCTCATATAAAATAAAACTTATAGCAATGCTGCAAAAAATCAAGCAGAACTACAACAGTGATCGGTATACTTTCGTTCCTATCTGTATTTGAGGAAATGAAGGATGATTATATTAAGATGTATACATCAAACATGAAATAGGAATTTATCACAATACATATTCCATGCTAAAGATTCTTTGCTGTAACCAAAAATTATGGTATTAAATAGAATGACTTATTATTGTTCTTTATTATTTCAGTTGCACCAATGCGTGGTCGAGGTTTTATCTTACGCAATGCAACCCCATCAAATTCTTCATCGAGTAATACCGCTCCTGTCGCTTTGGGATCTACTATTGGACAGCTCAATTCGAATCTAACAGGCATTCGTGGTGATCCGTTCCGTTCTAGACCACTGAATACAAGTCGTCCTCCTAGTTTACACGTTGATGATTTTACAAAATTAGAAAAGGAAGAAGGAATTATTGAAGTATGGGTTTCTTTTTGGAACATAGTCTCTGTTTATGATTGTTTTTACTTGTTAGTCAAAATTAGTTTCGTTCATCTATTTCTTATCGTTTTTAAGCTGAACTCTTGAAGTTAAAGTAGTTTGTGTTAAAAGCTAGAAAGTTAACATTAAAATGTGGCATGCGTTGTTTTGATTTTATTAGATCTTACCTATAACGCCTTTGAAGTCTAAGTAGTTCTGGTGATTACATTATGTCCTAGAGTATTTGATTGATAACATAGCTATTTTAGAAATGTATTTTAAGTGTTTTGTAACAGTTTTAATCCTGTATTGATGGAGTAATTCAATTCTTTTAAAACTTTAAAACATAAAATGTAATAGAGATACAGTGAAATGAGTAAAGTGTAATTCTTAAAATTTATTCAAGAAAGCATTTTGCCTCCGTATTCAATTTACGCAAGAAGATAATTTGAAAATGTGTATATTTCGCATGTAAAATCTTTTATATCATCATAATATTCTAACAATCTTAAACTTATGATAAAGTCTCAGGCATATTAAATATATTTTAGATTAGATCTTTTTCATACTTAATTTTGTATATCTGGATACTGGTTTTTGTATGTTTACTGTCGAATTTTTGTTTAAGATACAATCACAGTACTAAGAATTTATTAGCTAACAAAGCAACATGAATATTAAGTAAAGCAATTTGTCTGCTACTTGTTTGAATTTTATAGTTTTATCATGTATTACATTTTTTGTTCTTTCGTATGGTTGAAAAACCAGTTCGTCTTAATAATAATAATAATAATAATAATAATAATAATAATAATAATAATAATAATAATAATTTTGGATTAGAAAACACTGGATAGTTGACATTTTGAACCATACATTGTCAGTCAGCTACAACGTAGGATCAGGCACATAAATGCATCGGTCCAAGTTGCCATGCCACATTTAACACAGCAAGATGGACACCGGATTCATAAAAGTAGTCAATTCAGTTGTGGTAATACATAAAAGAAAGATTGCATATAAGAACATAGTACAGGAAGAAAGAATTAGTTCGTAGAAAGAAAGATATGAAGTGATTTTAATCTCTTAGTTTAAGGGAAGACAGATAGTGTATACACCGACGCCATTGTGATCGATTCTGAGCATTGTCCAACAGAGTCTCCAACCATTGGTTACGATAGCCACGTGGACCCCAACCAAGTAGTCTACACCTACCAACATGACTGAGACTAGAAGTTAGTAACTGTTTTGTTGTTCATTGTTTACTTCACAACTTTTTCTTGTCGTATACGAATGCTATTTTTATTTATCATCTACAATCATCTATGTCTAAAAATTTTATTTTAGGAAACAACTCATGCCAGACAATATCGTGATAATAGAACAATGAGAGGTAAGGATATTTTTGTGCTAAGAAATTAATTCAATGTATTTACATTAAATTTGTATTTCTTTTTGCGGCTGTTTCTAGTTTCATACAGATTCCAAAATAATGGAAATCGAGTTCATATAATTTTTTTATCGCATAATTAGATCATCTTTTTTTCAGGACTTATTAATGTGTATGTAGCATTTTCTTTCTTTATTTCATTCATATCACGATACATTGTATAGCTCAGTTTTTTTTGTTTTATATAGGTCGTGGAGCGAGATTTGGTACTGTACGTGGTGCTTTCTCCAATCATAATACTGTAAATCTATCCAGTATGCCGAATGTACCATTTGGTATAAAAATCCCGAGTATTAATCCATTGCATACTACATCACTTTTACCCAATTGGTCTGTTGGTGCTAGATCCATGTAAGTGGGTTTTTTTTATGAATAATTTGAATTTTTGCATACGATTTTATTGTTCTTTGTAGCATAGAAGTAGTGCAGCTTCATTAATTGACTTCAGTGTCCTTTTCGTAGTTATCTTCTATCGCTCAATAGGGAATATAACGCTTATACAAAATAAGGAAGTGAATGAATACTCGAACAATACTGTTTTGGCATATGCTTGGTTGTTTGGGGTCAACTCTTAACCAACTAACCTAAGCTGTTACACATTCCTATGTAGTATTTTCGGTTGGTTATTAAATTTTAATTCGCTATTTGAACGATCGTCACCTAGCAGCATTACTGGTATCTTTCTCATTCTCTAACCTTGTTAACCTCAACTAGTCACGATTTCTCATCATCATTTTCGATTTTCATTTCCAATTTATTGAATCTGTTTCATCTTCTACTATATACTTTATTTCTGAATAGTTGAGTGTGCAAAGTAGAAATTTCACTTCAACCATTATATTAACGTTTTTCTTGGTGTATTTTAGTCCATTACTACCATTCAGTTTGGAGCCACGAGCTAACCAAGAACGAAGAGAACGACATGGGCGATAAAGAGGAATTCTCATCCTTCATCAATTCAAAGAAACATCATTTTAATTTTAAATGTATATAACACTATTTACTTACATAGTAAATGTTGCTTTTCAAATGTATCTTTGTTCATTACTTTTTCATATGCACAGAAATTACCATTTGCTTTTGTAAAGTTTTGAAGAAACGTAATGAGAAAATGACTTTATAATATTTGTTATTCTTAAAGCTTTTTTAAAAAATCTTTTCTACCACCGATCTCTATTCTAAGTCTATGGTTATCAAACATACCTTACCTATTGCCATAGTTCAATCTCGTAGTTATCGAAAATAACTCGGAACTTCTAAACTCATTGTTTGAATAAAAAGATGATGTAGCTTGATTGCTCCTTTACGTTGTAGCCTGTATATGATGCTTAGTAATACAAAATATTTTAATCAAAAGTTAAAAATATAAACAAATGATTCAAAGAAATCATCAGTTGCTACTTGAACGTGTAAACAATAAAGGTTTTTTAGTGTGTATATGCTTCTGCCAAGAAAGAAATGACTACTACTGCCTTCCTACTGATCCCGCCAAATGCTCTTAAAATCTCGGAAGTTCTCGTACAATGAATTAGGAAAACATATGCATCAGGGTAGGGATCAAGGATATTCTTGGAAAAAAGCTCAGAGGGGCCCTGAAAACATCAGGAAACATTCTATCCAATCAAAATTGAATGGAATTTTGTCAGAAACGTCTAGGAAGTAAGTAACTGCGTGTCAAATTTCTGATTAGATGACTATCTATGATGCTACTATGTCCAGTAAGGTTCCAAAAGCCCGAGGCCATCGGAAATGCACTAAATACTCTAGATCTTCTGTACATAGATGAATCTTGGTGTATAGCGTACTCTCCACAATTCGAGTCTTTTCTCTCGTGTTCATATCGGCGTTTAATTTTGGCCTGAGGTCATCGAAGGACTTAGGAAATCAATTCAAGTGTTCAGTTAGGAAACTTATCAGTATGTAAGTGAGTAATATTGTTTCCAATGAGAACCACATCAGACTTTAATATTTCCATTATTCTGTTGAAAACTGCTCTACCTATCTGTGGAATATGGAGCCTATCCATCTGTATGGAAGACATGGCTCATCACCTCGAGATTCAAAACAGGGTCACGCAATGATATTGCTAAGTATAGGTTCACTAACTTGACATCCGTGCTATCTAGAACCATAAGAAATAACATCCACAAACAGCTATTGTCATTCTTGCTTTCGGCTAGTCTGATTAGCCCATCCAAACACGGGTTTATGACTAAACACTCATGCTCCACATTACACTTGGAATGTTCTGTTCAAATTACCCAGAGAAGAGATGATGGTCAGTTAGTGATAATTCTGTACTTCGATTTCGGTAAGACCTTCGACGGTCACGCAAACTTCTTTTTCTAAAACTTTATTCATCCGGCATACGGGATCCCTTTTTATCTTGGCTGAAGTCTTTTTTAGTAGAACGTAGTCAAATTGTCCCCCTTGGATCTTGCTACTCTAAACCTGTGAATGTAGCCAGCGGGGTTATACGAGGAAGTGTCACTGGCCCATTACTCTTTCTCATTTTTATCGATGACGTGTGTCCCCTCTTTCAGTATGGTGAACCTTTCCTTTTTTTGATGACCTAGAAGTGGTTTATTCATTCTCTTCTCCCACCAAAGAAGGCTATATTTTAGCGGTAATCCAAGAAGAAATAAACGAGCTGTACAAATGGCCTGTTTCTTGGAACTTGTCACTGAATATTGAAAAATGTGGATTTATTTACATTGGCAGCAGCCTTAGCCTTAATCTGATCCTACACAAACACACAGTTAAACGCCTCAACACTGATCGTGACTTAGGCTTGAGATATAGCAACAGTGTAAACTTTTCCGAGCTTACAACAACTTAAGTACCCAAAGCAAGAAAGCTCATAGGATTGATGATGATAAACTTCAATAACATCGAATCAACATTATTATTATGTAAAATAATGTATCATACCCATCCTTCAATATACTGTTCTAGTTTACAGTAATTGGAGCATAATGATTTGAATGAAAACTGAAGGTGCTCAAAGAATATTCTTTAAAGCCGTTTTAGGATATTATGACAACAAGTATTGCCACCAAAGATGTCAACAACTCAAGATAGAACCTATCTGGATCAAGCGTATCAAATTAAACCTTGTCTTCATCTACCGGCTTATAAACGGTATTTCTTACTCTTCAGCATCCACCCCTTCATACTGTATTATATTATCCCACAACCTACGCAATAAGAAAAATATCCTAGCGATTCCGAGAACCTACACAAACTTACGCCAAAATGTATTTCGTTATTCGCTATTCAACCATGTGGAACAGACTCCCAGTAAACCTTCGTTGCAGTGAAACTATAACTCGGTTCAAACGTCGCCTTAATGGCTTTTCCGAAAATGGTTTATGTCACCCACAAAATATTAGTGTGATTACCGATGATTTATACAAACAAGGTCCGCCAACTGTCAAACTGATTGCAAAGCAAAGTAGTACCTTTGAAATTTTGCTCGTTTATTTTATTTTCCTTCTAATCATTTTAATATCTGAAGTTCACCTACTGTGTTTACCAATTTAAATGTGTGTGTGGTTACATGTACATTAGGAGGAGTAATCGTGATCTCAAAATTAGGGTATATGAACATGTACTTAAATGGTTGCAGAAACAAATAAAATCAAATGATCATATAAGTGTAGATGATAAACATCCATGGTCGTCGCTTGCCAAACACAATTGAAGCAGTTCATAAGATTGATCTGAACTAGGCTTTTGTGGTGTTGTACAAAGGTGTAAAAGGGCGTATAGTAAGGTTTATTGAAGCCTTAGCCATACAAAAATACAGGCCCTCTATATGTATTCAGAAAGTTTTAAAATGCTCATAGAATTATCGAAAATGAAGAATATTTGAGCGAACAATTGTTTTCAATAACTTTATCATCAGGCTCTACATTTATAAGTACATAATTATGATATTTTAAAAAGGTCAAAATGAGGCATGTATTAATTAAAAAAGGCTAACGTTTGTATCTGTTACGATGTATATACTTCATAATTGTTTTATTTGCAAATTACAGAGGTCAATCAATAAAGGTCAGAATGATTTGGAGTACAGTGTTCAGTCACAATTGGTATAATAGTGATATGGCAAAAATGAAAATGCGGAAAATCATATGAATAAAATGCATAGTAGGAGAATCGCATCTTGTCAACTTAGTATTGAAGTAGGATTTGACGGTAGAATAATTGTTTGTAAAGTAACGGTTAGGAGTGATGTTACGAAATTCCCAAATAATTGCAAAGGGTTTCTTTACAATTCCGTTGACATGGATGTAGCCGAGATGCTGGCTGGATACGCCTATGTCCAATATCCTAAATTTCTGTTGTTTGACACGGTTGTCTTACCGATTGACAAATATGTGTGTTTACTTTGAAGATGTTGATGAACTTGTTCCAGACAATGGGATACATCGCCCTCAACTTCCGAATGTGGGCGTGTAGGCAGTGCGTTAGCGGCCGAGGAATTCACATGTGCGATTAAGTTTTTAAGATTCGATAGACTGTATACGTAACGTAAAGAGAACGACAAAAATCACTTCGCAACTTTTATGCTGGACAGTACTGTCATTTATCAGTTTTTTCCTCCTGTCGTACATTTTAACGTTTGTTCAGATCTCGTTTAACTTAACCTTTCGTTCTTCAGTCTTCCGTGTATGAGCCTTTATTATGTTATTTTGATTAAAGACATATCTTTTGTTACCTAATTTTCTATCGCACGTTGCCGGACTATTGACAGTAAGGTCGTCTTTGACTAAGCCAAAGGTCACGGCGTGGTTCAGTATGTGAGACTCAACCATTGACTGTCTGCTTAGGAGGATTGTTGGAATCCCTGCAGGTAAATATTGGATCCCACCTTGTTGGGAATATTTTTAGTGATTCTCGGGTATCAAACCCTTTAGTATTAACTGTTTCTTTTATTGTTTAGCACGTTACTTTGCGTTGGAGAAACTTCTGACTGTATGGCACAGGCCGTACCGTTTGAGGTATTTTGTATTTTTGATATAATTTATCCCTTTTTCTAAATTAGAACCGTTTGAATTGAGCACAAAATTTGTGTTATGATATAATTTAATGCGAGTGTCTCAAAAACGCTTGGAAAGCTATACAAAAGAACGTAGTCTGGCCTATTCGAATACATTTTGGTTCGTCAAACCGAATGCTAGCAGTTCGGTCGTTACAGTATACTATACTGCAGAAAATACCGTTGGTTACTTTAGACTTGAGTGCCAACATGAGGCAGCTACTGCTGAACTCTGGTGGGCATGAACATCGGCGGCAGTTCGATTATGGACTGACAAGTCAGCAGCTGCCTTTGTTGTCTGAAAAGGAACTGGGAACGTTGGACACTTGTCTTCACCAAAAAGACAAAAGAGACAAATGTGTAGGCCAACAGAATTAGAAGGATAATCTGTTTGTACTGCAGATGACTGGTGAATGATAAAAATAGAACATCTCTGCTCTATATTTTGTCATACGTCATGACACCTGAATTTGCCAGCCATTTCACACTAGTCGGCACCTCATCAAAGCAGCACTTCAGAAGTGAGGTTTCACTGCTGCATATGAAGTAAGAAATGCATTGCATCACGACACAAGGTTATTGTCATCACATGAGATAAAAAACACAAAAGCTTCATGGAAGTAAGCAAGAACACGTACGTACTAATTTTAAGTGAATAGCAATTAGATATCTTTGTAAATTCTTGTGTTCATTAAATTTCAGAACACACAAGATAACTTTAATTCTCAGTAGCCCAACAGGCGTTACAAAAAGGCACTACCAGTGGAATATTTTTCATATTCAACTTCATTCTAAATCAACACATTTCTAAAAATGCGCTTATTTTCTAACTTGCATGAGAAACCTTTTGAGTGGGTGTTCATTGGGCCTGTTTGATTTTAAATGCACTTGTAATTAGGTACACGTGCCTAAATAATAAAACGTAACCACATGTTCTTTCTTTTGTAGATCTTTTCGAATTACAATGAGACTTGGCAGTTAAAATTAAAGTAAATGACGATCGATCTAGCATCCGTCAACTGCTCATAATGTTGTACAATATGATGTTTGTACTTTCTGATAAATTTCATCAAACAT